TTAATATTTTTATTTTAAAAAATTCAGCAATTAACGAAGCGATTTTTTTTTAATGTTAGGTATTTTTGGCTATTTTTGTTTTCCTGTTAAGCTACAAAAGACAACCCATGGCAACACTGCCTCTTTGTATACAAACTCTCTCCATGCATCTCTCTTTTCTTGGAGCCCAGCGCATGTCCCGTTTTTGTTTATGGTTCTCAATCCCGCTCTCTCCCCATTGTTGTTGCAGGTGCATGCTTTTCACGCCTGCCGCTTTTGTTATTGCCTGCTACTGGTGGTGCTGGTGTTTTTGCTCTCACTGCAATTGCAATTGCAATTTTGTTGCATTAGGCGCGTGAATTAATTTCTAATTGATGGCACCGCCAACGACCATGCTGCCCCACTTCCGATTCCCAGAGAGTCGGCTGCCCGCTCTGCTCTCTTTGGTAAGTGGCTACGTATAATTTTTGTTGTGTTGACCTAATTATACGCTCATTTTGATTCACTTGATTTTCTCTGCACACAAACACACACACACACGGCACACGCACACACACTCTTGGGCACGAACGTTTCGTCACTGCGACAAGTGGAGCAGGCAGCGACGTTGGCCGAGACTGCGAAGCTGGCAGAGTGGCAGACAGAGGATGGCGACCGTAATTTCTTGTGGTTACTGGGACGCAAAATAAAAATATATAAAAAAAATATATAGTAAATCAGGTGGGAGATCCACGGATCTCGCCCCGAAACGCACTACCAACTCTATTGTTTCGGATATTTTAGAAAGAGCATATATCAGTCATATCTTCGATTTCCCACAGAACATTCCGAAATTCCGAAATACCAAAGCAAACTGAACCGAACTGAATCCAAACTGCAATAACTATTGGAAATGGAAATGGATGTGGATGACTGGGAGAACCGAGTGTATCTGTCCCTGTCTCTGTCCCTGTACCCGTACTCGCATCCATGGCTGTGTGGGTTCTTGTAACTGTGTCTGTTTTGTTTGGGACGGAAATGCCAGTGGCGGGGCTCGAGGGGGTAGCCCTCCCCCCATTGCCAGGTGACTCAGAGTTCAATGGGAAAGGGGGATCGTTTATTAGCCACATTTATAGGCACACTCAAAAAAATATATGCCAGTTTTGCAATATTAATAATATATTATTATTAGATTGTTAAGAAAATTTATAGGATGTAACTTTAAAATTTTGAGTTTTATTTATTTAAAATGGTTCTTGCCTATGTCGTCTTGGCTGAAGAAGCTGGTCAATAATATATCAATAATTTATAGGGACAAATGATTCTTCCGAGCTTCTGACTAACATTATAATACCTTTTAAGAGTATAATAAATTTAATTAATTATTTATAATAAATTTAATAATAATAATTTACTTTTTGCAATTGGCAGCGCACCCTTTTCAGTTATAAATTACTAATTCTATCGTCCTAGAATTTGTATAAAAGATAAAATAATATTTATATTTTATATATCCAAAATGTGATATAGGGCATGCACTTAATATAAGAGATTTCATTCTATAAATTCATAAAAGGCACACCTACAGACTCTTACTAAATACAATAGACGCAAATACTTTTCTCAGATATCTCTTTTTAAAATACCTCATCTATTGCTTAAAAATCTCCATAATTTAGAGGGAATGCTTTTAATTTGAAGGCCTTTTTTTGTTGGGCTATTGGATTCGGATTCTCCCATGAAGATGAGGTTGTGGATGTGGATCCCGAACCCCCTTGGCGCCAAACACCACTGGCGAAGATTTGCCAATCGCCGCTCTCCGGCACACAAACACAGAGAGAGCACGCGAGAGGCAGCACACTCACACAGACACACACACGCCCGCAGAGTGGCTGGCACAGAGACACAGATCAGCAGCAGCAGCAGCAGCACCAACAGCAACAGCAACAAAGACGCAGCAGAATTTGAAATTAGGTCAACAGGTTTGGCTGCTTGTAGTGGTGGCCTGAGCCAGTTACTCGAGCGTCGTCGTCTTTGCCTACGACCTCGGCTGTCATCATCATGAGAGGAGGAGGAGGAGGAGGAGGAGGAGGAGGAGGTGAAGGTAGGTGCGCGGGAGCACCAGAGGGAGCAGCAGCAGCACCACCAACAACATCCAAGCTATCCGCCGCCAACGCAATATGCGTTCCGTTCCGTTCGCTCGTCGTTTATTGCACCACAGTTCGTGCAGTTTTCAGTTTGCAGTTTTCAGTTGCTGTGGGGGAGATGCACTCACACACACACACACATCCGAATTGAGAACACTGCAGTGGGGGTGGGTGGAAGGGGTTGCTAGAGGGTGGCACGAGGGGCAGCAAGGGTGCCCTGTCACTGTGTGCGTGTGCTGCTTTCGGGGAATGAGCCAGGGATGCAGCGCATCATTCTGGCATCGAAATGCAAGAGATAAATTGGGAATCGATAAAGCCATCGACAGTAAATCCCATAAAGGGTAGCCGTAGGGATGGGGATTGCAATAAAATACAGGTATTCACAATCAATTCTCTTACAATTTATGATGTCCTAGGATTCTATGTTGCAAAAACGTAAGCTATATTTAAAATACTATCCCAAAAAAAATATCTCAAGTTATATACAAAAATATTTAATTAATATTTATTATTACTTTAAAAATAGAAATCAAACCGAAGACAATATATAAATAAGATGGGACTACCTTTGATGTATTCCAATCAGAAACACAAGTTTCTTTCGCTTATCAAATCTAATATGAAATGCCCAAACTCAGAATTCTTGTATACTAATTAATTTATTTAAAATTTAAAACTATATCTCCAACTTAAGGAATCCGAGCCCATTCTTGTAAACTCAAATATCCGTGAGAAAATGTGTAAATTCATTGGGTTCCGATTCCGTTCATTTAGAACCGAAATCGGAAATAGGAACAGGTGTGACTGGCATTTCGAAATGTTCAGATTCAGATAGCCGTATTAACCCCTTCTCGGATCGGCAGGTAGCCTAGCAATCTTCTGGCTCGGAAACTGTTGCGAAAATGCGCATATGTTCTGAAATGGAAACTCAATGCTGAGCGGAGCCAACTGGCGAGACCAACTCGAGTTTCTGATTTGATTTCGATGCAGCCAAGAGATTTCCACATACTTCTTAGTTGGTTTCTGTGTCACAACCGAACACACACACACACGAGACACACACACAGGCTGTCGGATGCGAAAAGGTGGTTAGATGAGGAGGTGACGGCGGCAGCGGTGGAGCAGGCGGAGTAATGAGCTCCCAGAGAGCTGCAGCCACCTGCAGTAGAGCGAAGGCCCCAGCCGAAGCCGAAGCCGGAGCAGATAATCCCAGTAGAAATGGAAACTAGCTGCGGCAGGTTTAGAAACTGGTATAGAAAAACACCAGGCAGCGGCAGACACACTCATAGCCACAGCCAGAGCAGCAGCAGCAGCAGCACCACCAGCACACATAGGCAATCGACCTTGTAGGAGTGTATTTTGTCTTGGAGCATGCCCGTAAACTGGGCCAACGCGATTGCACTGAAATCAGGTGGGCGTGACGTAGGTAAATACAGTCCAACTCCCTGAAGTTGGATACAGTGTAACTCCACACAATGGGTTATGATAAAGGGCAAAGGGAACACATGCTCATTTCCCTAAAATATGATCTTAAATTTGCATATTTAACTCTCTTTATATCAACGTGATGAATGGGACTGACCCATTTTCTACCATAATTGTATGATCTAATATAAAAATAGATACAGTTTGTAATTTTCTAAAATTACTTGAAACTCCCAATAAAAGATTCATTATTTCCTATACAGTAACTGACCTATGTCAAAGTGTTTGCTTTCAAAAATGTATTTGTTATACATATGTTCTTCTGATTTTTTGTATATCTATTTAAATATAATCTTTAAAGACAAAATTTCCCTTTGATATAGTAGGTATTCTCCCACAAATATAAATAGTAAAACAAAGTAAATATTAGAAATAAATAAAAACAATTATCTTTGTTGATATAAATATATTAAACAATTTGTACGCGCACTTACGATCATAGATTATAGATTTAAATATTTTTGATTGTTTGAATAATCACTGTTGACCACTTTTTGTTTAAACAGTTTATAAAGTCTTTAAACTGGAATTTTGTTGTATAAATGTCCAAGAATCGCAGTTTTGAGCAAATAAATCAAGTAGAACCGACATGGGAGCACAATTTTTGGCAAATAAAACCTATAAATAATATAAATTATATATTCCAACTCGAAGTGCAAATATTGATGTTTCCAATAAAAGGAAGTTTCACTGTACGTTGGCCAATAAGTGTGTGCTTGTGTGTGTGTGCCGACTGGCTGTGTGTGTGTGGGAAAGCTGGCTGTACCCTTGGCGCCCATTAATCCATGGCGGAAAATCCACGGAAAATCTGTCGCAATCGGACAGATATCCGAAATAGCCAGGCAGGCGCTGCTCGCAGGAGTTTCGTAATTACATACCCGCCACAGCCTTGGCTTCCGAATTTTCAGTTTACAGTTTACAGTTTCTTTTTCAGTTTCTTCTTTGTCGGCTCTTCGATTCTTCTCAGTCCGATTCTTCGGCTTTTTAGCTTTTCAGTTTCTTCAGTTTGTTTTGTGTCAGTTCTGTTCAGCTTTTCGTTTTCGTTTTTCGCCTTTTGACTTGGCATTAGCACAGCTGGAGTCTTTTGCAACGCTCTCGAAAAAAAAAAGAAACGCGCTGCGGTGTTTGGCAATTTTAGATTTCAAAATACCACAAGGTGCATTCTAACACACACGCACACAGAAGCGCACGGGCACACACAAACACACACACACGTGCTCTGCTCGCTCTCGCGCTCTCCTCCTCTCCCACACAAACACACACACACACCAACACTGTGACAGTGTGCAGTTCTTGGATTGGCTTGGATCTATGTTACTCAATGGGCTCCTCCGGGGGTGAAGCCGGGGAGGCTTTGCAATTTGCGTACACTGCGCGGAGTCGCTTGGATTATTCAACAGCAGAACTAACCTCCCGCAAAACTGCAACTGGAGCACACAGCGCGACACAACAACAACAACCGTAAGTGTGTGGATGTGGATGCACTCGAACCGAGAAATCCGAACCCGAATCCGAAACCGACTCCGACTCTGACTCTGACTCCGAAATGAACGAGAAACGCGCGGCTTAAAGGGCAAGTGAGTTAGCTGCGGGGCCCAAATAATAATAATAATAATAACAACAATAATAATAATAAAACTGTCAGCGGACAACGCGCGCGCGGTGGCCACATCCGAATGGGCCAAAAGACGAATCCACTCTGAGCGGATTCGGATTCGGAATCGGAATCGGTATCTCAACGCTCCACGCTGCGCTGCCTCTGCCTCGGCCACTGCCAGCGTCGCTGCTGTGGCGCCGCTCGGTGAAACAAAAACAACTCAAGCGATTCCGATTCCTCAAGGCCTACTATTTAGGCCAAAAAATAATGTACCAGCAGCAGCAGCAGCAACTACAACACGGAGCGGCGCAGTGGCAGCAACTCGTTTCTTACAGAAATGTAAACGTTCTAATTGAGTTCTCATTTATGGCCCGCCGCCGCTGCCGCTGCTGCTGCTGCTGCTACACCGACTGTGCAACCGAACCAAGCCGAGTACTTGTTGTAATTGTTGTTGCCGCAATGCCCAAAAAGCATCGGAAAATGTTTTTATCCGGCTGACAGGCACAACCATTTTCAAATTGGAAACAAGTTTACTGAACCCTCCACCAAGTTGGCGTTTTTCCACCAAGAGCAACAGAAATCACTTGTCCACAGCACAGATCGGGTATCTTTTGGCCAAGCATCTTATGGTTGTATTTCATCAAAGTCCAACAAAGATCATGTATCGTTTTTGGGGTGGGTTGTGAGTTCATTGGCAAAATATCTTAGGCATGAGCGTTTAGACTCTTAAAAAGTAATAATCACTAAAGTATGAGCTATACTATAAATTTAAAACAAATATTACTGCATTTTAGTTGAAGTTTGTGGCAAAACCAGCTTAATAAATTATCTATTTGGGCACAAAACTTGTGGGTATTTACGAAATACTGAAACTGCATGGACTCAAATATTAGGTATCTTTAGGGCATCTATATTCGTAGGCTATATCTTTCATGATTGAGTTAATGATAACTTTAATAAATTAAGAACAAGATAATCTTAAAATTTTCCGAGGCAACAAAGACTTTATTCATCCTTTAAGCAATGTTTTTTTTTTAAATCAAGAAAGTAAACTATCTTCGGAATGCTAAATTTTCGCTTTTTTTGAAGCAATATTTATAGATATTTTAATATGCAAATTTGTACAACAAATCAAAGTTTCAAATGCTCATAACTGAGCCAAAAATGCATTAATTTTAATTTGGATACCTTTTCTTTGTAAGTTTTTGATAGTTTAATAAATCTGCATAATCAATTTAAAATTCTTAGCAACAATAGTAAGTTTATTTCGAGTCACACTTTGTCAACTATAAGGTTTTATATACTTCGAATTTATATTAAAGTAAATTGTTTACTTCAAAATTGAGGTCTTGACATCAAAAAAGATCTGCAAATGTTAACTAAAAGATCTTAATACTAATATTTGCTTGTGGAACCATTGATCCATATTTCTCAAGCGGGATGTCGACCAGAACGTTACGGTTTGAAAGTTTGGCGTTCGTAAGCCGAAAATAACCTCGTTTATGTGGTAAAAACTGAACCTAGAGAAAAGGCCAGAACCTGTTTGGTTTCTTATACTTTTGAGATTTAACCATTGCGAATGCATAAAAAGTTAATAGAACAGGCTACGGATATCCGAGTCTGATGCATTTTCGGGAATAGCTAGTCGTCCCATTCATTTTCATCCTCAACCTCCTGGCTGAGTTGGCTCCTCCGCCTTTGATCGTGATTTCTTTTGTGACAGCGACGCTTTGCCGCATGGAAGGCAGCTCTGATTTCCGTTATGTAATCCGATATGACATATCCACTGGATTTTTGGATGTCTTGTTATAAACAAAGTATTTCTTATTGAATATAAATAATGTTATAAATAAAAGTCTACTCACCTAAAAGGGTTTTGTTTATGTTTTATATTGATTGAACGCTTGTTTGTTAGAAACACCGGCGTAGTTAAAAGAAAGCATGATATTATCGGTAAAAAGCTTTACAAGGCATTTCTTCAGAGGTGTTATTTCGCCATCTGGCCTTAGTAGTCGACGCATTAAACGAGCCTAGAATGCAATCGATTAATATTTTTAAAGTAAAGCTATCTAAATGTTATTAAAATGATACTGTCAACAGTTTGAGGAATCATTTAGCGACTCACATAGGGATTGCCGGGCTCTGCCAGGTAGCCGTCCAGTTTTGGCAGCTCATCGGGATCAGAAACAGGGAAATATGAGACATCCACCTCGCAGGCATCAAGGTCGTATCGGCTTTGAGCCAGAACGCCAAGGCGCGTCAGGATTTCGCTTTGGTTGCTCAGGATGTGATCCAGTTTAATTTCCAGTGCATCGAGTTCCTTTCGTGTGCGTTCATCGTTTTTGGTCAAGAGGATATTTACCTCTTCCTGAAGCGCAGTGTACCGGCGTTTTGTCATTATGATTTCTGTGCACTAATTCGTTATTTAAGTATCCGTTTCCAAAACAACCACAAAATCATTTAGTTCATTGTTTTTGTTTTGTTTTGGTGACGCTCAGTTAGAGGTGCAAATACATCGATGAATTCAATGCATCGATGTTTTCGAAATTTCTAAATCATCGATGTTTTTTCACAATCGATTTTCCTGTGCCGTCACTATAAAAAATGAGCAAAGGTACGTTAAAGAGATTATTATTTTTATTTTTAAATATTATTTATATAATAAAGATAAAAAAAGATAAAAAATTTAAATAAAAATTACAATTTGTTTTATAATGCTTAATGTTTTTAACAATAATTTTCAAAAATATTATTTAATATCGATGCATCGATTTTGTTGCACCTCTTTTAGGAAAGCCAGGGCCACGCAGGTCTTTCAAGGGATATAAAACTAAAAAAAAATTAAATTAAATAATACATTTCTGTGTACTGGTGTTGATTTACATGCTCACTTCACGTTGTTCCTCCGGTATATCGTATATAAAATCGATGTTAACACTGATTGTCTTCCACCTCTATATTTTACACAGATTTTAAAATATTTTATATTGAAAACTTATTATTATTATGATAAATGTTTAATTAGTTTCCTTAATAATTAATAAATATTGAAAAGTAATAATTTATGATTAAAATAATTAAGTAATAAATTATAAATATTTATAGGTATTAAATAAATTGAAACGTAGAAATTCATGTATTATATTTATTAATATTTGTATTAACAAAAGAACATTTTATTTGTATTTTATTAATTATATTATTATTATAATATACAACAATTAATTGTAACCAAAAAATTAATATTTTATTATTATCATTAAGTTGCAACAAAACAATCTCATTAGTTAAAAGTATGAAACGAAATGAAATGAATAAATGAAAAAATTCATTTTTAAGACTAATCCAAAAAATTAAGAATATAAATGACGATAGTATCGATAGTGCTCTGATTTTTTCCCAGCACTAATAAGTGCGTTTCTCGGCGCATTGCAGGTATTGTGTGTGGCTCCGTTTTAAAATTTGTTTACACGATAAAAAAGCTACGATCGGTGGCCAATGTGATTGTTAAAGTGCAGTTCAAGTACCTGACCACTCATGTATAGTGTTTTCTCAAGGCTGGAAGACGATTTTGCAGCGTAAAACTTTGTTGAAAATTCAATAGTGGCCGCTGTCTGGAGCGGTAGAGTCGCCGTCAACTTTAGTCCCCTTGGTTTACATAAGAGCGAAAGAGTCGGCTAGTGTGGTGTTCGCAGAAATGGCGTCGAGTATGTGCACATGGCTGGCGCTGGCTGATTATAATATTTAACTTATAATTTCCGCGAGCGCTACCAATTGCAACTCGAGATGCGTTTGCCCTCGGTATATGCCCGGTGACCAAATTGGTTTATCTCCGGCGAGGCGTACATTTCGTTTTTCGGTGCAGTGTACACCACTTTGTCCGGTTTTTCATTCCGCTTTGTGCGCTTCATTCGGTTTCAATGCCCTCGCGTTCAGTGTTGCCAAGTGCCGAATCGTGCGTGGTTAGTGATGTGTGCCTTCCAAATCCTGCCGCGAATGTGTGTTTTCCGCGTATATTTTCCAATTGACCCTTCCCACACTTTCTAGGCACATGAGTAAAATCATTAAGCTCTGTCCAAGTGTCTTCATTGTTGGTTAATTAATTAGCCTTGCCAATTGCTGTTCGCATCTTTCGCACCTGGCAACACTGACCGTTGGCCGCCGCGCTGGTGCGAGGGAGATGCCGCTACGGCCGATGCAGAAGAGCGAGCACAAAAGCGAAAGCAGAAAACCGAAGCGAGGAGGCCAAGGAGTTTGTAAATCAATTTTTGTGTATGCCAGTCCTCATAATTCCCGTTGCAACTCAAATCGGGTACTCTTTTGGTCCCCCTGGGGCAATATCCATATCTGGAGCATAGGGCTAGGCGGACGTGCGAAATTTAATGTGAAGAAGTAAATGCGGTGGCGGCGGCCCATGCATGTGTGGGACAGTGTGTGTGTGCATGCATGAATAATGTATGAGAAGGCGTTATTCACGGTAGAAGCTGATAAAACTGTTTTGACAACAAAATTGAGTGATTCAGATGCACTTGGTATCGGGGTCGCTCACTGCCGCCTCCACCTCTCCACCGTTCTCCCTGATTCACATCCCCTTTGGAAAAGCGGCGGCTGACGATTTCGGTTTGGAAGCGTGCCTTCCTCCCTGTCCCACTCCCTTTTACCTGTTTTTCCCGTACATTTTCCGCCTCTTCGCCACCCCCCCGTTTGCACTAATTCTGTTATTTCTGAATGCTTGCTTTGTTTGTGCGTGTGCCGCTCTCTATCTTTGTGTCTCTCTTAGCCTCCCTCCCGCTGCCGTGTGTCAGTGTGAGCGTGTTTGTTCACGTTCTTTCATTCTCTTTTATTAAATGTACATTGAACTCTCATCATTGCCAGCTTTTCTTTGCTACTCTCTTTGACCACTTGTTTTGCGAAATTCATACGCATATTCGTTAATGAAATCTGTTTGCATAGCGGTAAAATCAAGAATATTTCTTATGCTAGGAGCATTTTAAGTGATTTCGAGAAACTATCAGCTTAATTCAACTTGTTAAAACTTCGGGACTTGTGGTATATCCTTACGGTGATTTCCCGTACCAGGCTTCCACCAGGTTTATATGATTCATCATTAGGTTTGTATTCTGAATCCAGTAATTAGATACTTGAAAATAATTTCTGGTCACATGAGTTCTGTTTACTTTCCATTAATTTGTTTTTAACAAGAAATATGTTAATATAAACAAGCTACAGATAAATAACGCAGCCCTGTGTCTGAAGATAACAGGAATATCCATTTTCCAGCAAAACCATTATGGTTCATATAAAATATCGTAAACCAAATTACTATTTCTAGCTTCACCTACTTAATTCTCTATGATCCTATAGATTCAGTATAAAATTTCCAGTCCATTCATCTTACCCTGAATTTTGATTATGGGATACCTTGGGGATTCCCATCCGATTCAGTCATCATTGGGAATTGGATATCAGTCAGAGTCAATGTAAAACTCTCCATTCGAGCTATAGTTTTGATTTCGAATCTACCTCTCTTCGGTAATTTCAGCTAATTTGTATATACAGTGTACATAGAGATGAGCACACAAACTCGTTCAGGCGGCGGAGGAGGCGGCGGTCACACCCGCAACCAGAAAAAGTCAAATGTCAGCAACTCCGGCGGAGGCGGAGGAGGCTCCGGCACCGGCCACCATGATGCAGTCTCACATGCGGCGGCCGCCGGCAAGAAAGGCGGCGGTCTGGATGTCAGCAAGACAGAGAAGCCAGAGAAGGCCCAGCCGAAGGCCACCACCGAACAGTTGCGCATTGCCCAGATCACCAATAGCACCACAGAGGATCCGCAGATCAAAGAGAAGGTCACCCTTCTGCTGACCATGACCCAACGTTCCGAGGAGGAGGTCTGCTGCGCCCTCAATGAGTGCGATTATGATTTGGAGGCAGCGGCCAACTTTTTGATCGAGGAGCTACCGCAGGTTAGTAGCGGACTTATATTCTTGATTTCCAGTTACTAAAGCGTATCCGTTTTGCAGGGCGCCTTTGCCAAGTACGAGAAGAAACGCAAGAACAAGGCTGCAAATGCCCCGGGCGATGGTGCCACCGGTGACGGAGACTGGGCCGATGGAAATGCGAATGCGGATAAGAGGGAAAAGTCGCGTAACCGCAGCTCAAATCGAGGCGGCGGACGCGGCTCCACCGACAGTCGTGGCTGTAAGCTCAAACCTTTATACATTACTAACATACAAAACTGTATTAGGGAATCTGCTCAAAAGACCTGCCACATTTAAGAATAATAGTTATTAAGTAAGACGTTAATGTAATATTTATATTCTTATAACGTTTTACTTAATGAAGACACTACTTATATCAGAGCTCTAGTTAAGTAATTTCTTCTAATCCTTCCTTAATTATTACGTTACAGGGCGGGGAAGAGAGACCCGCGAGAACGAGCGCAATCAGCGCGAATCTCGGGAACCTCGCTCTGGAGGAGGCGACCGCGGCGATGACCGGGCTAACGACAACTACCGCGGGCAGCGGAACGGCGGCGGACGCAATGGACCCGGAGCCCTGGGCAGCGGACGCGGTGGTGGCTTCGTCTCTCGCTCTGGCCGTGGTGGTGGTCGCATGGGCGGTCGCAGCGGTGGCCCGCGTGGTGATCGTATCGGAGGTCAAGGCGGCGGTGGTTACGGTCCCGGTCGCAGTGGCAACGCCAACGACGATCATCATGAGGTGGAGCTGTGGGACAACACCATTGCCCAGAACGCCGAGAAACAGCAGCAGGCCCATGACGACGCCTGGGGCGATTGGAACAACGAGGAGTACGAGGGCTCGCTGAAGGACAGCAAGGTGTTCACCCCCAGCAACTTGGCCACGCAAACGGCCGCTAGCGTGGTGAGCGGTGCGGGAGCAAGTGCCGAGAGCTCACTGCCGGCGCCACCGGGTCTTGAACACCATCTCGTGCAGCAGGGATCATCTCATCTGGAGGAGGGCTCCAGCAGCGGACCAACGGCGGGCACACCACCGGCAACGCTTTCCAGCTCGGCGACTACGCCGCTGCTGCAGTACAGCGCAGCGGTCAGTAATCCACCGCCCCAGCTGCAGGCTCAGAGCACGCAGGCGGGACCAGGAACGCCAGCAAGCGCAACTGCCGGCGGAGGAACGGGCAATGCTTCGTCCTCGTTTGGATCTGCTGCCCCCGACACATTCTCGAGCGCCGCCTCTGCAGCCGCCACACTGGTGCAGCAAGCGCAGCAGCAACAGCTTCAGCAGCAGACGACGCCTATAAAGCCATCGGCTACGCTGTCGGCCGAGCAATCTCAGTATTTCAACTCGCTGTCCAGCCAGGGCGCTAGCCCAGGATCTGCAGCGGTACAGCCTGCGCCAGCGGGCTATACGCAGAACCCAGTAGCCGCCTACTCGCAGACCAGCACCAGTGTTGGTGCGAGCCAGTATCCCAGCACATATGCGAACGTTTTCGCCACTGGAACGGCAGCAGGCGCAGCTGGGGAGCAATCGCAGCAGCAGCCGGTGAGGAGGGCGCGCGTCAAGCTGCCGCCGCCATCAAAGATCCCGGCCAGCGCTGTGGAAATGCCAGGAGACAATGCTCTGAATAACATTGGCTATCTGGACGTGCAGTTCGGTGCTCTGGACTTTGGAACGGACGATGGCTTTGATGCAGTGCCGGAGAAGGTTGGGGCGGGCTACAGCATCGACAGTCAGCAGCAACAGCAGCAGCAAGACGACTACCAGAGTAAATCCCAGCAGCAACAATCTGCGCTGACAGCGGGTCTGCAAAGTTCCCAGATCGTAAGTAGGATAATCATATCAAGTTATATGAGAGCCATTCCCTTGAAATGAAAGCTTATTAAACTTACGAAACCCTTTCATTTGCAGGGAGATGCCTTGACTGCAGCGGCGGGCTATGCGAGTCGTTCGACGGCGCAGCAGCAGGGCGGCAGCTCGTCCGCCGCCACGAATGCGCTCGATCAGTTGGCCAAGAACGATCCCTATGGACAGGCCAGCGGCACCGGTAGTGCCTATCACCAAAACGCATACCAGACCAGTGGAGGAGCGGGTAAGGCGTCCAGCGGCTACCCTACGACGGCGTCAGCTGGCTACAGCAGCTCCAGCTATGCGAATGTTCAGAGCTCGGTGGGCAGTTATCAGCAGCAGGGTTATGGCTATCAGCCCAGTGCGGTAAACTCCTACCAGCAGCAACAGGCGGGCGCCGGAGCGCAGAGTGGTGCGTCGGGCGCGGGCGTTGCAGGTGCAGCGACGCAAAACATTCCGGTTGGTGGCAGTAGTAGTCAAAACAGCACAAGGTACGTACCAAAGTATACCCAACTCATTTATTCCCATTCCATACAAAATTTTATATTGTTATCCATGTATAAAGATAAATCGCAGCCTCGGAATACCGATGCTATTGATTCATTCCACTTGACGTTGTTCTTTTCGTATGCATAATCTGCCTAACAATCTCCGCACCACCCGAAAGAAAGCTAATCTTGATTTTTTGTTACTGTTTCTCTTCTCTCCTAACCACACACGTTCACTGCCCGCTCATGTCCAAAAAATAAAATAAACCCAATCCGTCATCGCTTTGCGCACTTAACAGCGGCAATGCGAGCTCTGCCTACCTCACTTCCGGCTATTCGACACCACAAAGTGCTTACCAGTCCAGCCAGAATGTCTATGGCAACACGGGAGGACTGTCCAATAGCAGCGGGTAAGTAGAATCTGCCACGGTCTCACATCCGTAATCCCCGTTTCCCTGGCGAGAAGCTCCCCTAGCTTTCCCTTAATTTACATTGGAATGGTTCCATTATGGTTAATTGCGGATTCTTGCTCGTTCAGGTTCGCTGGCAGTGCGAGCAATGCGTCCTCACAGTACGCCAGCTTTAGTGCCAGCGCTAAGCTCAAGGATGCGACCGCCACCAGCGGCGCCGCGCACTATGACAGGTAAGAGCGAGCTCGCTCCCAGCTCTGCATGCCGCCGTTACTCCTTTCTCCAATTTTCCTTGAACTAACCATCCGTACCGAACACCTCCGGTAGCACATTAATCCTACATATTCTTATTCCAGTGTCTCCACTAGCAGCGGCGTCAGCAGCAGCAGCGGAAGCACTGGTAACGGTGCAGCGGGAACTGTCAGTGGGCAGCCAGGCGCTAACCAAGCAGTTGTTTCCAATAGTAAGTATTCTGGGAATTATGGCAGATGTAGCTAGATATTTTAAATGATTTAATTCTAATAATACTAATACCATATTCTGTGTCCGCCTCTTTAACAGATAACAACGTGAGTGGCAGCAGCTCGGTCAGCAATGTGACGGCGGGCGTTGCCACCGGCAACGTGGCCGGCGTGGGCGGAGTAATCAGCCAGAGCGGCGTAAGTAGCAGCGCCGTCGGTGTGGCCGGTGGCAGCGGAAGTGCGGCCAACGTCGTCGGTGTGAATGTTAACAGCAGCAGCAACAACGCCGGCTCTGTGGGAGCAGCGGCTGCCGCAGTCGCCGCCCAAACGGCTGCGGGCACCACCGCCGCGGTGCTGGCCTCGCTGACCAACAAAAATATTAGCAGCAGCAGCAACAGCAGCGGCAGTGGTGGCAGCGTCGCCACAACGGCGGGCAGCGCCGGCGGTGCAGGTGCAGGAGCTGGCACTGGCGGCGGCGTGGGCGGCGCATCGGGTGCTGGTGGTGCTGGTAGTGGTGGTGGCAGTGGCAGCGGCAGCGGCTTGGTGCCCACCAACATCCAAATGGTTAGTCAATATATTCAGACTGGATTGCCATACTATCAGCAACCAGTGTATTCCTACGAGGAATTACAAATGATGCAACAGAGAGTGCCACATGTGGTGAGTTCATGGAGAAAAGCAAAAGCAAATACCAAAAACCAACTACAAAATGCAACCGACCAATCAAAATCAAATCAAATCAATCAACCGAACCGACTCTAATCAATCAGTAACCTCGTATCAACATCCTTCCACATAATGTTTGATACAACGTTTCCGCCTCAAGTCAAGTCCAAATTCCATATACGCATACGCATACACGCATCCCAGCGCGTCGCCTCCCGCTGCTCTCTCAGGCAGGCGCCAGTTCTGATCCTGGCCTGGCCTAGTTGCGGTCCGGATCCGGTTCCGGTGTCCCCGGGTCAGATTCGAGCTCCGGATGGCGGCCTTTCCACCCTCCTAACCGTTTTTCAGCGTGCATTTTAATATACAAAAATAACATTATCACCACGATGTTTATATGTCTGTCTGTCTTGTGTGCGTCTTCATAATTGTTTAGTTTCAAGCTCACACACCTTGTCTTATCATCATGCACTTAAATTTTAATGCCATCCGTATCCGCTTCCAGTTTCCATCCACATTCCACAACCCCGGTATACAACATATATACATCATCAACCATTCAAAAATCATCCACATTGCTTATCATCCTGGCTCTGCTTAACACTCCACTCCAAAACTATCCAAAAAACTAACCCTATCATTTAACAATTTTTAAAAACATTTTATATATCGAACTTTATAATATAGATCGGTGTAATATTAATATTTATTATTATTTAATTCTATTCAAAACATTTGTAAAACTACATATTTTTTTTCCTTTTTTTCTATTTTCAACAATAACGTTTTTTACTAATTGTATGCTAAGGATGTATATCAAAGTTGCAACTGTATTTAACATTTAAATATGGATTTCTAAAATATTCATAATATTTTATTCAATTTATTTATTTGTATACCCTTGCAGGGTACTATAATTTTTGTCAGAAGCTTGAAACGCTGTGAAGGAGTCATTTCTGACCCTATAAATCACGTCTATCATATCTTCTTGATCAGCATCAGCATCAGCTGAACCGATCTAGCAATCTCAGGCAAAAGAAAATATTTATCAATTTTTTTAATTTCAAAAATTTCTATTGTATATAATGTATATATGTGTATTCTGGCATCCCTACTTCCTTTCTCTGCATTCCTGACTCACACATTTCCCGACATTCTATTTCCTAGCCATTATTAATTTTCATATTCATTTATTTCATCTAACATTTCCATATTGTATATTTGTACGTCAATAATCAATCATAGCATTTAACTAAACATTTATGATTTCGTTTGGAATCTGTGGACGCCCAGCTTTGTCCGACTTTGCGGCGTTCTTAGATTATGATACGTACTTTCTAAGCTTATAGTCTGTCAAAGCTGGGTCTCTGTCATTATCATGTAACACAACACGACCTACGCTCTCGATGATCGCTTAATTATGATTCTGGTTCTCGTTTGCAGCAAGGATATTACGACTTGAACTATCCGCCAGCAAGTTTAGGCGCCGGTCGTGACAACCTCGGCTCTGTGGCCTACTCCACAATGACTGATGGACGATTCGCCCGCACTGACAATAACTCCAGTCCGGTTGGCAATGTGAGTTTGCAAATAATGAATATCTTATTAAAGATCTGTGCTTATGTCTATGCTCATATATCTTGCACAGGTATCCAGCACAATGTCACAACAGGCGGGCTCTGGTGCGCCCATGCTGAATGTTCCTTATGCCTACTTTTATGGCGGCAATGTGATGCCCGGTAGTTTCCAATATGGCACGCCCACCATCTATCCAGTAAGCCCCTTATTACCATTTCCTAACCACATAGCAGTTTGTAATTGGAATCGATTCGCTTTGATTGAACAACAGCAGATGCCGGCAGCCAACACTGCCTCAGGTGGACAGTTCCCAAAGCCCTCGTATAGCGCTGGCTACGGCTCGACCAGCTACGACACTCTCTCGCAGACCACACAGGATTACAGCAAGGGCGGTGGCGGCTACTCGTCGAGCGTGAATCAGCAGAGCAAAACGCAGACTGTGTCCAATCAGTCACAGGCAGGCACTGGATCCGACCTCACCTCGTCCATGTACGCGAAGGGTCATGTGCCGCTGAACAAGGTTAATGTACGTATGGTTATGGGCAGGACTGTGAACGTGTGAACCCTAAATAGCCAGACAAGTCGAGTAAAAATTTTAAAATCTAGTTTATTTTAAAGCCTGTCTAGAGTTCACAGTCCTGGTTAGAGTAACCTTTATCTTTTTCGAGTTACAAGTTGACAATCGATTCTATGTACCTTTTGTTTTATCTCCTGCAGTCGTACGAGAAGCAGAGCTTCCACTCTGGCACTCCGCCGCCGTTCAACATGGCGAACACTCAGACAGCTGGCGGCACATCGGCCCAGCCGTACGGCATGTTCTTGCCGATGCCAGCAGCAGGACACCACAACATGATCCATCAGCCCATCCATCAGGTAGAGTCTCAATTACCACCACAGTTTGTTGTTTTAGGCAGAGTGACAGAGAACGTAGAGGTTCGCAGTGTGGTTATGAGTGAACAGCAAGTGATATATGAGCCCGAATGGCAGAGAGGCACAGAAGATCAGGGGACGACGGTACCTCTGAAGGCGGCGAAGAATGGGAGCAACAATTGCAAAGCACCGTGCAGGAGGATGTCAGTGGCATAACGTTCTTTGCCGACTAGAAGGGGGCGAAAAGACCCGGGGAGCTTAGGAAAATTCACCGTACATTTCAGTTTGCATTTTTCACAGAGTTATTTGATTTATGTGTGTGTATGTTACTTCCAAATTCGCTTTAAACCCACACTTGCACCAATCTCTACACCTGTATTTCATAGTTAACTTCGGATTTTCCTTTCCCTTGCGTTAAATCTTAATTGTTTAAAAGCTGAAACGGCATGAAGTTGTTGTTCGTTTTAAAGCCAAGCTTCCATTGTCAGCACATGTAAACTAACCAACTAACTATGATTGTACCACTAACCGATGCACTCACCCAAAAGTAATTTTATTTGTGTGTTCTCTTCATTTAAATAGTTTTGTTATATATTTTTAACCGTAACCATTACTAACTAACTTTCATGCATTTTCCATTTATCCTGAGGGGAAATTAGACATCTACCTGGGGGTAGGATATAGTAGTTTGATCCTCGTCGGGGTAGTCTGTGAGAGACAGTATTAAGAAAAGATGCATGAAACTGTGTTCTATTGTTTGACTCTTTTTCTTTATAATTTCTTTTGATTTTTTTATTGGGACAACAATTAGATGGACGGCAGGATTCATAGCTCATCCCGCCGGGTAAGTTCCTTTGTTGTAATCACACAGTTGCTTAAATTGTTTGCTGTTAGATTTCACATTACTAACCCACCCACTCCACGCATGACTCCTCGCTCACATGGTAATCTTTCTCACTACATCATCCAACCATTCTAGTTTGTAGTTGCATGAATCCCAAAGGAACGGCGCCGATAAGAAGGAACCTGGTGCCAAGTTGCAATGGGGTCGTTTGGTAATCAGAAGCATATACATTCATGTGCCATATATTAAATCGTGTATATAATTTACGAATTTATGTACATGCAAACACATATATATATTTAATTTGCGTGTGCTCCATGTGCTAACCCACATTTTTGTATGTATGGATGGCCGAGTGGAAATACCGAAAGAAGCGGAGGCAGCAGCAAAAGCAATCTGTTTCCTATTTTGACCAGATCATCACTGATTTCTGTACCATATCTGTGTTGTAGGACTCGAACAGCGCCGGACAGCGTCAGCAATCGACCAGCCAGTCAAAGTCGGCAGGAAAGCAGGGCTACTCTCCCTCGTACTGGACCGGACAGAACTAGCTTCCGGAGAACACGATCTGGCGGCCCCTGCAGATCGCCCGAGCTGGCGAGCTCTATAGCATTCGCAGCAGTAGCACCACCAACACCACAACCACCACCACGCCCATTCACTACATCTACAGCAAAAGCAGCAGCAATCTGAGAACGCAGCCCAACACACTTACCACGCCCACGATAGTGACAACAATAGCAGCCAGCGCCACCACAAATAACACAGATGCCACAACCACAACGTCAGTAGCAGCTGCGATATTGACGACGACATCGGTGCAATCGGCTGTTCCCAGCCAATTGCTTATGCTCGTCAAGGAGCAGCCACAACCCCAACCACAGCAGCAACAACAACAGCAGCCACTTGCCGCCGACACGGTGAAGAGCGAGAAATCCTCGCCAGCGTCGGTGGTGGAGTCGGATTATCTAATATACGAAGATAAGCGATCATACTTTACTTAATAAGAAACGTTTTTACTACGAACGCGCACTGTAAAGGCGCCGCCCAGCAGCGTCTTGACCACGCCTCCCTTTTCCCCTCAACAAACAGCCAACACACACATCGCTCACACACAAACATATACAGCCAGGAATAGAAGGGAGTCTCCATCTCACTGGCCGCAAAGCAAAGAAACAACAAACAAAATAAAACATACAGCAACATCCGCATAAATATACCAAGTACCATTTTCACATTGCATACAAATAAATCTACAAAGATAAAGAGTAACAATTATTAATTATTAAAGGCGTAAAACGATTTAACAGATTTAAGAGCGTAAGAGAGAAGAAACCGGAATGAGCAGAAAGCGTAAATTAAAAACAAATACAATTATATATATATTAAAGAATCAACAACAAAAAACCACAATGAGAAAACAAAACAAACAAAAAATAATTATTGTAATCGGTTTAAACTTATATGTATAATTATAACCTTAATATTTAAACTAAATACAAAAAAGAAGATACGATTAAATCCAAACAAATGCAAAAAAAGGAAGAGAATGGAATCACCCGCTGTCTCTTGTTAATTAACTTTTCTTGGTTCAATGAAATGGATTGAATTTAGGTTCTGGAGTTCACTTTGTATCCTTGTGAGCATAATGTGTCTTAGGGCGCCAGGATATTACACCGACTCTAGCGATAAGAGTCTCTGAAACCTGTAGCTCAAAACTCAATCAATCCAACAATTCTTTGAGTACATATAAAGCTTGTTTAATTCGGAATACACTATTTAAATAAAATGTTACATTTACGCATTGAGAAACTGGCTGCTGCTACTGGCTGTGCAGCAGCTTGTTGAAGTCTGCATATGCCGACTCCAGATCGAAGAGGAACTGCCGCACCCGACCCTCGGATAGTTCGTCGGATGCCTGCATCTCGTTGAGACTGCCCAGCCACTTTTCCACCTTTAGCTTGGCGTCAAAGTCTTCCGGAATGAGCGACAGGCGGTTCATGTTATCCGCAAGGTCCTTGACGTCCGGCTGCAGGGCGTCCATAGTGTTAATTTGCAGGCGCAGCTTGTCCATTATCGTGATGAACAGTGACACGATCTCTGCAATGCACTTAGACGTGTTGCCCTTGTCGTCTCGAATGGTAATGGGTCGGTCCTCCTTAATTCGCTCCAGCGCCGCCGGGCAGTCCAGTCGGAATTTTTTTACAAAAGTCTCCACCGTGGGAAATTCGTCGCACTGCACCTGCTTAAAAGCCACCTTGTACTGCACCAGGTATTTGGAGCAGGCCGCCGTGTATTCCTGCGGCGTAATGCAGTCGCGAATGTAGGCCTTCTCCAGCTGCTGGATTGTGTTAATGATTGCGTACAGATCGGCCATGTTGTCATAGCGTTCGCGTTCGCGGGCATTGCGGAACAGCTTCACCTCCTCGTACAGCTCGGGGCTCTGATCCTGCATGCTGAAGGTTGCTTGTAATTGGGATAGTTCTTAAAAGACAAACAACGAAAATGAATCACAAAAGATTTAGCTGGGCAGTGTGACCGAAGATGTGGAAAATGTCAAAAAGTGTAACCTTACCGAAACCATACTAAAAATACCGTTACAAAGCTCAAGCTGTTGAATGTATTATAATTTTATTTATTTTTTGTACTCCTTTTTTTATAATGGGTTTAGTGTTAAATTAACTAGCTTTAATATTTAAACCTTAACGAAATTTTATTTAGCTTTGAACTTGGGTTATTTCCTGTGACCCGGAAACCATTCCCAGTGTTGATAAACGATCACTAAGTATCTGCATCAGTATTCAAATTTAAATTTTGTAGAGTAAAAAAAAGAACAAATATTTATGATCAATCTTATCGATGCCAGGTCTTGTTGTATATTTTGGTGGTCGCATAAAGATTAGTGCTTTATCTGATTGCAAGGACAATTACTAGCGGCTAATTCCACGCATTGCGATAAGGAATGTTATTGAATTAATACAAGCTGATTTATTCATTGATCGGATCCGGATCCAGGTCCCTGGTCACCGAGTCAGTGGCTTCATTAAATCAGAGGTGCCAAACAGCCCCAACACGGACGCTTAATTTGACAGTTTATGGCTCGGAAATATCAGCATATCAGCTTATCGCTACCATTGACCAGTAAAGTGCACTGGGTTCAATTATTATTGTTAATATTCACGCAGTCAGCAATCCACTGGCAATCAGTTCAGACCTCACCAAATCGAATTCGCGGCTTTTTCGTGTGTTTATCTGCGGTCAGATCGAAGTTATTTAATCTGCTATACAAACAGTTTCGGAGCTTTGGTCAAAACAGGATATAGATAGCACGATGGGTGCCACTAGAGATCCGTCTAGCAATGTAAGTACCGCCCATGCTCGTGGCAATTTGCGGGATTTAATTAATATATTACAATAAATATAGGCTTACTATTACGTATGTCTATAGTAAATAAGCTGGGCGTCTATAAAAGCAAGCAGCATGCTCGGCCATAAAAGTTATACTAAACATTATATATCCTGTATGCGACACACGCTCAAATACCAACGCGAGAAATGCGTCAAATCAGTTACCTAAAACGGCACAGCCTGTTCGACAAGCTTGTATCCATGGCCGGAATAACTCCGCGGTGGGTAGAGAACAAACAGACCCAACTGCAGCAGAGACAGAATGCAGCCGAGGAAGTTTGGTATCTGAAAAGCAATGCAAATATTTGTCCCTGTTTGGAGTAGTTCTGTGGCGTGGGAACCGACTCACCTGAATAAATGAGTCCGATATCAGAACGCCGTAGATTAGCCACTGCAGACTGACCACAAAGGACATGGCAATCAGCGGCAGGGGCAGGCTCTCTGAGTTCTTGGCCCTTATCACATGCAGCAGGCTAGCGAGCGGGGCGGCAAAAAAGCAAACGGAGACAACGCAGCAAACGATTCCTGAAAATAGTTGACAGTTTTGTAGAGAAAATGCGTCATGCTAGTTAAACTATTTTGAAGAACGTGCTTATACCTGTGACGTGGATCATTTGATCGCGCTGATCTTCCAGTCGATTGGTGTACCAAATAACCGCAATTAGTACGGTCAGCGCGAAGCCAAACTGCTTGATGAAGGCACGTTTGTTGACGGTGAACACATAGTAGACCAGCGTGTAAACCAGAAAGAGCGTCGATCCGATAATGTTGACAAGCACGATGCTCTGCTCGCTGGTTAAGACGCCGTAGCGCAGCCAGAAACTGCAGCTGTACAAACAGGGTTTAAAACAATTAATTTCGTTAAGTGCAAAAACAAAACTTGGATTACTGCCAACCAGGCAGGTCAAGTTCCCACACAATTAATGGAATATTTTAGCGAATAAAGGATTAACTCTATAGATAATCAAAGAACTTATATTATAGCTGGTACAGTCATTGGATTGAAAAAGCCCATAATTTGTAATCGATTTTCGCATACTAGTCAAGAAATTGATTTTTTATAAATATGATTTAAAAGACTTTTATATGACTCTTATATCAACGTAGTGAATGCTACATATTTTGTAGCAAGAGTAATATTTTGGAGAATATCTACTTCAGAGAAGTCTTTCAAAGTTAAAAAACACTAACTTATTATTTTAATCATACGTATGTTCAACATCTCTTTGATATATGTATAATACTCTTAATGCATTCAAAACTTTACAAATAATAATGAATTGGTTTCAAACCTTATAAGCGAAGATAAGGCAAGAACGACTATCTTAGTGAAAAGGTGAATATATTATTATAATTTATAAAACATCCAAACATTTGGTGACATTCTAAAGCACATTTCAAATTAGCCCATTAAGTTTAGCTGCCGATAAAGGGAAAAACTTCACGCCAGGCGCGACCAATTCGAATTTATCTTAGTTTTTGCCAACGTCGGCAGTTTCTACAAAAAATACTCACGATAAGAAGCCACAAACGAAAGGAATTCCGGAAGAGTCGCCCGTGCTCTTTTTTTGGATGTACTTTCGGCATATCATGCTGTGCGGACGAGGGGGGGTGAGGAAACAGTTTGTAATTAATTTACTATAATGTTGGGTGCTCTTGTTGAGAGGCGGGACTACTTACGAGCCAGAGAGGAACTGGAAGACGGTGCTGATCACTGCCGTCGTGGACAGCAGCGAGTCGTAAGCCACCGCCGACATAGTCCCTTCCTTATTATATTTTACTTATGCTAGGCTAAAGTTAAACGACGCTAATACAACGTCAACAAAAAATTGAACAGCTGTTGAGGACAGCACGTAGAGATGGCACCGCTGGCTAGAGATGGGCACGAATCGGTGTTTACCAACACAACACGAACGCAACACGAACACGAACTACAAAACAAGAAGTCTTTCTTCTGTAGGTTGTTGTTAGCTTTTACTTATATAAGGCAAGAAGTTAAGAGTTCGTTTTAAATAATATGGCATATCAGTTTATGGCATATAATTTTCCAGCTTCATAAAAATCAAGGCAATCGATATATCGATTACTTGGCGCGCCAGTCTCGAAATGCTTTTTGGAGAGAGCTTTTTCGGCGCCAATCTGTTGCTCCAGAGGCGTAATAAAAGGGGATTATATAGAATTGGTATAATATTTTGACTTGTCTATACATCAATAATTTAAAAACTTTTTTTGGGGATAATAAAAAAAAATTTATAGATATCCTGTTGTTAATTAAATATCCCAAAATTAAATGTATGGTGTTCAGCCTCTGGTTGCCGGCAACTAGAAGGCTATCGCGTGTCGCATGTTCTAGGTCGGAGCTTTTACCCACCAAAATTGACGCTCAGCTGCTTTAGTCGTTCTCTCGACTTCAACGCTGCCGTAACGCTTCGATCCGTGTGCGCCGCTGGCGGTGCGCCTTTTATAAATAATACTTGTAGTTAATATTCCAAAGTGTTGAATCGGAAATGCAAGAATTAGCATACATTACTGCGGCACCCGTTACACAACACTGCACCGCAACGATTACCGCCAATTGTTAACAACTGTTTTTAGCATTGTTAACACGCACACGCGCTTTCTTACGAGTGCCTTAAAAAGTGTTCCCTTCCCAAAATAAGTCAAATTAGCAGTAGTACAAAGCAAAGTCCAAAATTATGGCCAGTAAAAGCCACCAGGCGGAGGCCCAGCAATTGTACCCACAGCCCAGCAGAGTGGAACTGCTTACGGCTCAAACGGAACCGAACCAGGTGAGATTTGGGAGGCGGGATTTCAGGTGAGAGAGAGCGGTAAAGATCGCCCCGGCTACCACCAATCTTTTTGTATCTGCAAATGCACCCTATTCTTTGTTTTCTTTTGATGACGTATTCTCGTTTCTCTCTCTTTGGATGCTGTTTTGTTGTTGTTTTCCTTTATCTGCTCTGCGGCACGCATTTTATTTATATATTTATCTACTCTCTCTTTGTGTTTTGCTATGTAAATGTTGTTCTTGTTCAAGTGCCTTTACACTTTTATTTTAATGCATATTTGTTTCAAAGTCAAATATATGTAGTACATAAAATTAAAAGACCGCAAATACATACAAACACGACGCAATAGCATATGGTCTCTGTACATACAGTGGAATACTCTATTGACATTGAGCAAACAGTTAGGGTACAACTTCTAGAACTAAAATTCTTAAATCTATTAAATGAATTTCGATTTAAAAAGCTTTTAGGTTATTTTCTTAATATTTATTTAATAAAAAATTCAGTTTAGTTTTTTGTTTAGAATTATAAAAGAATTATGTTTTATCTTAAATAATTCTACAAGAGATTTACAACTTATTCCCCAAAGAATGTTTGTTCTAAAAAAGCAATTACACTTTTAAGAATATATTTTTATATAATCCAAAAACAATTTAAAAATACAATGAATTCAAACGCGAAAAACATTTATCTTATATCTTTCAAAGGAACAATTAAAAATAGTTTTGAAGCGTGTCATAACTCACAAGTGATTATTTACGCATTTTATACCTTTGACCCCCATTTTTTATATAGTATAACTTTCAAGTACTTTGGTACCGGCGCTTTTTTTAAATATATACGTATATATTTTTTGGCAAATAAATGAATCTTACTGTGTGTTTAATCAGTTGAATTCTTAGACATAGCTTATCAGTTATAAAGAGACACCGCCTGGAGGTCGATCGTTTATTAGGGGTGCACTGCTTATAAATAGTATTCCGCATAATCAGAGCTGCTGATCAAAATGTTTCCGAAATAAAATGGAAAGTTTTGCCCTTGGGTCAAGATTAGCCATAATTAGCGCCAATTATACAGATTAGGACAATGCGGCGGGTATATAAATCAGAAAGGTACCGATAACGAATTTCGAAATGACCCCACACAAAGACGCACTGAATCGCATTTCACTCAACTAAAGCACGCTTAAGGGAAATATTTTCCTTGGCATTATCATTAACTACATATATATATTTTCATGTATTGCAGAAACCGCGATGGGGTAATCTCCTACTGCTGGTGGCCCTGGCAACCACTTTCGGGGGCGCGGTATCCACCGGTTACTGCATAGGCGTTATCAATGCCCCCTCAAAGGTGAGATATTAACGGTGTTGGACGTAATATCAACAAAAAATCTAACACTTATCATTACAGCTCATGAAGGTCTGGTGTAATCAAACACTGCACGAAAACTACGGCAGCAACCTGACCACGAGCGGGTTGGACCTTTTGTGGTCGTGCATTGTTTCTGTGTTCCTGGTCGGAGGCGCCATCGGTTCGCTGGGCGGTGCTGGAGCGGCTAACAAGTTTGGCAGGTATTTTATATAGCAATTAATCAATGCGATAAGCCCCATAGATTTCTTGGATTGTTTTTTAATCCACCAGCTAATTCGCATATCACAGGAAGCCATTTAGAAGTGGCCGCCAGTATGGGTATTATGCCATAATAAACAATTACAGTGTAGGTTCGAATTAGGGCACATTTTCTACTTAAGATATAGGTTAACAATGAATAGCAAAGCTTGGTTTGGGTTTTAATTTGTATTATTTAATTTCGATTATTTAACACAATTCAAAAATTTTATACGAATTTTTTAAATATCTAAAGAGTAAATTAGAATAGGTACCTTTTCATTTAGAACTTTGGTAACCTAAACTTTAACTTTAGAGTTCGATTCTCGGTTTCTTTAGGCATACGAAGTGTTTAATTTTCTCAAGTTCAGTTTTAGTTCTATATATACTATATCCATATATATGATTCTTTACAGAAAAGCATGTTTCCTCATCTGCGGCGCCCTGTTCACTGTGGGAGCTGTGCTCTTCTTCTTTTGCCGCGCCGCGAACTCGGTGGAGATGCTGGTGATTGGCCGCTTCATCGTGGGTCTGGCCTCCGGTCTCGTGACCGCCACACTGCCCATGTACCTGTCCGAAGTGGCACCACAAGCGCTTCGTGGTACCCTGGGCGTCTTCTGTGCTGTCGGCGTGACTGGAGGAGTGGTTGTGGGTCAGGTGTGCAGTCTAGCAAACGTCTTTGGCACTGAGGAACTCTGGCACTATGCACTGACCGCCTACATGGGTCTGATCTTGGTGTGCTACCTCCCATCGTACCTGTTCCCCGAGAGCCCCAAGTTCCTGTATATCGTGAAAGGAAATCGGGCGGCTGCCAAGCGAGAACTTCAGCGACTGCGAGGCAAGGATGCAGAGGATCTGATTGCTCAGGAGATTGCCGAGATGGAGGCAGAGGCCAATGCCAAGGTACAGACGAGCAGCTTCTGTGATGTGCTGCGCGATCCTCGCCTAACGTTGCCCCTGATTATCGTCTGCTGCTTCCATGGCGGCCAGCAGCTGTCGGGCATTAATGCGGTTAGTACTATATATTTTTTGATAAATTAACCTGAACCTAATGGAGTGCCTCCTTTCAGATATTTTACTACTCGGTGAGCATCTTTGAAAAGGCCGGCTTGTCTACTGTAAACGCGCAGTGGGCGAATTTGGGCGCTGGCTGCCTGAATTTGTGCATTTCACTGCTGGGTCCCTGGCTGATGGCGTACTGCAATAGACGAACCCTGATGATGTTCTCCTGTGCCCTGTGCTCGGTCTTTCTGTTCACCATTGCCTTTGTATTGTTCTATATTGTGAGTAGAGATGAAAAGCCTTGTTCGTAGCCCTCTAATGTTTATTTTACATTCACAGGACTATGTCAGCTGGTTTGCAATTGCCTGCATCTTCTGCATCATGGGCTACATATTCTTCTATCAATTCGGTCTGGGCCCCATTCCCTACTTCATTGGCTCAGGTAATTAGAGAATGGAACGTCGCGTGGCTCCGCTATTTATTGGCATTCCGCTCGAATTTCGGAGAAATAAGTCTGCAATTGGAGCCCATTAAGGTTCATTGGCTCTCTACATTAGAAACTGTCGTTTCCAGACAAAGTGTCGTGGATTTTTGCCGCAATTTAGATTTATTTTTAGCTGACATACTGATTTAATTCGATTGTATTTTATAATTTCCAGAACTGTTTGAGGTGGCTCCCCGATCCGTCGCCATGTCAATGGGGAGCCTTGCCTCATGGACGTGCAATTTCATAATTGGCATCTCGTTCCCCCTCCTGCAGAATGCGTGGGGCGCCTTTGTCTTCCTGCCCTTCTCCATTACCTGCGTGCTGCTCTGTTTGCTGACGAAATTCTATCTGCCGGAAACGCACGGACGCGATCCGTCCGAGGTGGCGCCCCTCGTATCGAAGGGCTTCCGCTCCAAGGTCAAATGAGAGCTTGGCTAACACTGGCTAAACCATTGGCTATTATCTTACAATTAGGTTTAAGTGTGGTAATAGGTTTTAAGCAAGAAGTCTCGTCCAGTACGTGTGTGCCTTGGTCGACAATAAGCTGGAGTGCTCCTCCACATTGTTCAAGGTCGAATTGCTCAATGGCCGGCCAAACTATAATTGTAATTTTGTCTACGTATTCGTAAGTTTTTTGTACAAACAATTAATAAATGAGAAACCGGAATAAAACCTAGGTTAAGGCACCCTGTAAAAAGCTTTCAACGCTCCGTCCTCTTATCACGCTGCACAAGTTCAATTAAAATGCCTGGAGGAAGGACGGAGCGCAAACTAATACTCGGTTAATTAGATTTATTGTACGGAGCGCCACAGAGTCGAAGATCTATCGCTGAATGCTCTTTCGTCTCCGTTGAGCTATAATAGATCAAACTAATGTTAAGTTTTTGCAATATATATATTAATGTTGGGATAGATTAGCTTTTTGTGCCGCTGGAATTAAAACCCGTTTCAATTTTCAATAACAAACCTTCAAGATCAAGTTTGAATTGGGTGCATAGAGTATATAGATTTTCGCGTACTCTCCAGGTTAGTAGTTAGTGCAAACAAACGCACCCGTGTCGATGATAAGAAAACAAGCAGTCAGTCGTAAGACAAAGAACGCTAAATTTATCTACGACTGGTACGGGTTCTGTGCTGTAACCGTGTATTCCGTGCCCTGGGCAAGCATACCGAAGATGTGTTGTGTTTGTGAGTGGTAGACAAGCTCGGGGGATGACTCAATGGAGCTGACAGTCTATAGGTTGTCGGATGCGAATCACTTTCGGTTTGCCTCTTGATGTGCCAGCTTCGCACCGCAACGCGCCGTCGCCATGGTTGTTATTATGGTGATTTCCCGCTTTCTCCCTTAAGCCGGCGGCGAGTTTGTCGCTTAAGTCTTTCGTTTTCGCCGTGCTAATCCCGTGTTATTCCCGTTGTTCTGTTTTGTTGCAGCACGTGACCCCACCCAGGGTCAGCGGCTGGACACCGCTTTTGCTGCTCATCTGCCTGACCGTAACGCTGGGCACCACGGTTCCGGTGGGCTACTTCTTTGGCGTCCTCAATGCGCCGGCTGAGATCATCAAGAAATGGTGCCAGGACATCTTGGCCACCGAATACGACACTATTGTAACCGCCAGCCAGCTAGACATCCTGTGGACGAGCATTGTGTCCATCTATTTGATTGGCGGCATCTGCGGTTCCTGTTTTAGTGCGTTGTGCAGCGACAAATACGGCCGGTGAGAAGTTTTACAACAAACAAGAATAAATAATTATTTTAATAAATGTTTTTTTCGACTGCAATTCCAGTAAGGGCTGCCTGATGATCAGCAGCATACTGCTCGTGATCTCCGGCATTCTCTTCACCTGGTGCCGCGCCGCCAAATCGCTGGAGATGCTGATGGTGGGCCGTTTTCTGGGCGGCATAGCATCGGCTTTGATTTTCACCGCACAGCCCATGTATCTGCTGGAGGCGGCTCCTTCGGAGCTCAGTGGGAGCGTCGGAGTCTTTACCTGTATAGGTGTGACTGGCGGTATCCTACTCGCCCAGGTGTTTACCCTGTCTCATCTGTTGGGCAGCGAGCGGCTGTGGCCGTACGCCCTCAGTTTCTACAGTCTCCTTGTTATGGCGTCGCTCCTGATTATGTGGTGGTTTCCGGAGAGCCCTCGTTGGCTCTATCTGCACAAGAAAGATGCTGGCGCAAGTGAGCGGGCTCTGCTGCGATTGCGAGGAAAAAATGCTGAGGAAGAGGTGCAGCGGGAATTGCTCGAGATGAAGGCTACGCTGGAGGCCAAGGCCAGTACAAAGGCCAGCTCCCTGTGCTCGGTCCTGAAGGATAGGGAGTTGTGGCTGCCACTTCTGTTGGTGTGCTCCTTTCAGGCCACCCAGCAGCTAAGTGGAATCAATGCGGTGAGTCGGATTCTGATTTTCATGTATACAATTTGGTAAGCCGTCTCCATGCAGATATTCTTCTATTCGCTGGCCATTCTCACAGATGCTGGCTTCTCTTCGGGAGCAGCAACGTGGTTGAATTTGGGAATAGGAGGATTCAACATGTGCACTTCACTGCTGGGGCCACTGTTGATCAGTCGGTTTCCCCGTCGTCCACTTATGATGATCTCCTGCTCCATTTGTGCCCTCGCCCTGTTTGCCATGTCCTTTGGACTTTTCTATCTGGATAGTTCGGAGAGCACGGTATTGGCCTACTTCTGCGCCTCCTTCATTCTCACTTTTATTCTGGGATTCCAGTTGGGCCTGGGTCCCATTGCTTACTTCATTGGTTCTGGTTTGTAGAATAATAATAATTATTATGTATTATGTTTCAACCATTTACTCTCCATCAGAGCTGCTAGAGGACTCTCCTCGGCCCGTGGCCATGTCGATGGGCAGCTTGTTCTCCTGGATCGGCAATTTCCTGGTGGGCATGTGTTTCCCTCTGCTACAGAGTGTATGGAGCTCTTTTGCCTTCATTCCTTGCATGTGTGTCTGCCTCTACTGTCTTCTGCTCACCTGGCGTTACCTGCCGGAGACACGCGGTCGCGAACCTAAGGATGTCAAGCCGCTTATGAGCCAGGGGCTCGCCTCTAAACGGGAATGAGAAAATTCAGTTTTACATGAAATCTTACTATTATGAAAATGAAATTAAAATAAAAACAAGAAAGGAAAGTAACTTCTGCGGCTGAAGTTTATATACCCTTGCGGCTTGCCATGAAACTATCGAAACGGAAAATTGATCATAAATAAGCTTCAATTAAAAGCATTCATTGAATCGATATTTATCTATATTTTTAGTTGCAACTTTTTCAACTAATGAAAGTTTAAAAATCTAATAACTAAGACAAAAAGCCATACATTTTAATTCGGAAAGCTGTAATATGTTGTCTAATAAATCTGCATACTTTATTTAAAATTTCAGAAAATCCAAAATTCTGACAATTTTTAACAATTTTTACGATGTAACCCCTTATCAATTTTTTTAAAAATTGAAACAATTTTCAAAATTTATTTTTTGACCGGACATTGCTGATCGACTCAGCTATTAATGCTGATCAAGAATATATATGATTGATAGGGTCAGAAATGACTCCTTCAGTGTGTTACAAGCTTCTGACTGAAGTTATAATACCCTAAAGGGATATAAAATTTAAGAAATATCTAGATTTAAGAAATATCTAGCATACATGGCGTATACTTAACATGAAACCCCTTAAATAAAGTATACGCCATGTGTGTATTAGGGAAGAATAGTTTATAAAAATAAAAAGATAAGTAGTTCCAGTTAAAAAGCAAGTTTAGCCATTCAATTATCAAGAGGTCAAGGTTTATAGGGTCGGAAATGATTTTATCATTGTGTTACAAGCTTCTGACTGAAATTGTAATACGCTGAAACTATGATAATGTAGCAAAAGTTGCGCTTAAGTCAGGGTCAGAAAGTAAAATACAATCGCGTATAATTTATTAATTAGTTAGGTAAATATCTTATTTTTGAACGTTTTAAGACATCTTTAATAAACATTTATATTTTACTTTAAATTACAATTAAGTCGGGTCCACAGCAATAAGAGATTTAATTGAAAAATGAATGCACAGCTGGCACAGCTTATTGAAGAACTAGGCCTGATTCCTCCTATAGCATCTATAAACATGATATAATTGTCTTGGTTGAGACTTACCGCAGTAAAGGACACACGGTGATCCATTTTCGTCATTGCTCATTCAATATATGGTATCATCAAAGTAAGCATCTTTCTGGTTATCCAGTTTATATATTTGGGGTCGAAGAGCAATCACTATCACTACCACTTTCACTATCGATGTCATCAGTAGGGAGGCCGCGGACAGAATGAGGCCAGAGCGACGGCAGTGCCTGTATTTATAGTCCCCGAGTAAAGAGAACTGAGAAAGTGAGAGCAAGAGCGAGAGAGAAAGGGGTCTCTAGAGGTACACAGAGAGAGATACACATACTGAAAAATATAGAGATTAAGACAGAGAAGGAGAGAGTGAGCGAGAGAGAGGGTGAGAGAGAGTGATACGAGACAAACAAACACGTCAACATCGATACGGCTGTTGATGCTAATCAAAAATATACGACTCTGTTACTGCGTTGCTAACTCCGACTAAAATTAATTTACCCTGCAGGGGTATAACAAAAAGCCAAAGTCTGTAAAACCCCAAAGATAGAAAATTGATTGAATCTTTTGCTGAATTAAAATTAACAAAGATTAAATTATTTTTTGCAGGGGTATATCAAATAAGATAACTAGGTATCCTCGACTAAGAATCCCTTTTGTATTTTAAATTAAAAGACGCGGCTAAGTCCCATTATCTTGTTTATAAATTAAAGCCGAAAAGTGTGCTTCTAATGACGATATTCCCTCCTAAAACCCCCCTTTGCTTCATTTGTCATCGGAGTCATATATAATAATGCCCAAAATGCTCTCCTTCCTGGTAAGAATGCTTTCCCATTTTGACTTTGGTAAATAGAGCATTTCTTTTTTTATATGTACCTTGGTTTACTTTAATCTTTATGTTTCGGTATATACCTGAGATCAGGAAAAGCGATCCCAAAGAGGTGGCGTCTTCGATATAGAATGACTTCAAATCTAAGATCAAGTAAAGTCTTGGGGTTTCGTTACAAGTATGTTAACCAATCCAAAAGGACAGTGGAAGCAATCAAGATTAATTGTACATTTTTGCCTGATATCTATGACGTCAAAATACGTACATGAACTACAATATAGATGCGTACTTCTCGATAATTAAAAAGCTTTTATATTGCTTTTATCTAATCAGCAGCAAACTCTCTCACTACCATAGTAGATTTTTTTTATAAATATTTTCGTCTTATGGCAAATATATATATATATTTTTAAATATAACTAATATAATCCTTTTTGTCGTGCAAATTTGTATATGCTGGCGGCTCCTCCTTGCGCATCCTGTCGAATGCCTTTTGCACCGAGTACAAAGCGAAACTCAGGTAAACTAAGAATTTAGGGAAATAGGTTATACATTTGGGAGGAAAACTAAATAAGGAAAAGTTTACCTGCAAAGGGCAACGCCATCGTTGGAACGAAAATCCAGTAGCCATTCGTGGTCAACAGAACAATGGTCAAGTAGATCATGAGATACAAAAAGAATCCTGTAGTAATCATCCATGGCACAAAGCATTTGTAATTTTCCTATAATTGGATTATAAGGTAAATACTCTATAATCAAAGAACTAAGAATTTCTCTCACCTTAAAAGCTCCAATTAGCAAGCACAAGCTGCCCAATATTTGCAGAGAAGAAATGTGTATCCCAAGATCGTACAATCCATCTAATAGAAACAAAATAATGCCATATCAATCGTGGGAGGCAGTTCGTATGCAATTTTTCTAAATGTGTATACATACTTCTCCAGAAATAGTCGTCCATAAGTACCAAATAGGTAATTGCAAAGGCTATAGACAAACAGCCAGTGCAGATGATGCCTCCTTTGGTGTCCAATTTTAGCATTTTCCGAGTTTTTAGAGAACCTTGCGATAGGAGATATATTTCACAACTGAATGAGTGTTAATTCCAGATCCGTAAGCTTTTTGCGATGCCGCACAGCTTTATCTTATCTGACTGATGACGGCTCTCTCCCGAAATCAAACGAATTGGAAAACCTTTGTTCGTTTGTGTATAATTATATTTTTATTGAAGGATTTGCTTTTTATTGCTTCGACAGTTTGGCCAACAAAGCTCTTTCAGCAACGAGGTACTAGCTTGTTGGCTCCTTTCTTTTATTTTTACAATGAGTAACGATTTCGAGTCGATTATTTTTTGGATAATGCAATGGAATTGATTAGCTAACAAATTGAGTGGCGAGTGCAAAAATTTGTTAATTGTAAAATTTGTAACATGCATTATATTATTGTTGGTTTACTCTTGCACTTTTAACTAGTATCTTTAAGTATAAAAAAATGTTATTGCAATAATCGCATGGCATTGCTTCATATGTATTGATGTATGTATAATTATTCGATTTCGCTTGATAATTCGTAAAATGTAGCGTATTTTAGATAATTTCTCGAGGCATAATTCTGTGTGAGAATTAGTAAATATAATTTAAGTTAAGTTGCGTTAGATTTTGGGTAAGGTAGAGTTAAAAAACTAGCAAACGAACGTTGCTCCTTTCCGCCGACTTTCTTGTTTGTTTTTTTTTTTTTCATTTTGTTTTTAAGTTAGTCAAGATATATAAAAATACGTAGATTATAACATTCGATTAGTACAAGTAGTATGTATAAATATATAAAAAGTACACAATGTGTAAATAAGACTAAGTCAATAGAGGAGAGCTCCTTCGGGCAGGTTGCATAGCCGACCGCCCCTTATGCTTGCGTCCTTTCTCATCGTTTTTCATTTTGTTTTGTTTTTGGCAAAATCACAGGAGAATTAGAAATAATTAACGTAAACTACGGACACCTCAATGGGATAGTGTGCGCTTAAGACGGGGAAAACGTCGGTGAAAGTGGAAAACTTTCAGTTGCCGATTCGAAAGAGCGTTGGTTCAACTTGGGTTGCTTTATTTGCCTTCACTTGCATTGCTGTATTATCGTTTTAGTTTAATGTTTAGTTTTTGTTTTGATTTGAAGGGTTTTGAATCCATTATGTGTATATTTGTATAATAAATTATGACTATATATGCAAGTATATAAGAAGTAAGTAGGAGGCGCATTATTCCACTTTTCAACTTAGGATAACAATATTGTTCTCGCGACTGACTGACTGACGAACTGGCTCGCTAACGGCTCTTATAACAATATTCAACTAGAGAATCGCTGATCAAAAATAGTAATCATAATAATAGTAGTGATAATCGAAGGATGCAGACGCATGTACAAAAGAATAAATAAAATCGCGTATAAAAAAGGATCTGCGGTTAACCTATTTTAAACGTCGACAACCATCTTCTTGTGAATATCCGTGTTGCCGACCACCGAGCAGAACTCGTCGAACGAGATCTTGCCATCCTCGTCCTTGTCCGCGAATCCGATCGTCTTGTCCACAATTTGCTGCAGTTGGGTCTCCTTCAGATTGTTGCCCACCATCATCTTTAAAACCTGCACATAGGGAAAGAAGCGGTTCATTTGAAGTGTTCTTCCACATTTATAAACTTTGACGCTTGCCTGAAATAGCTCGCCGTTTGAAATGTATCCATCATTGTCCATGTCGTAGATGCGGAAAGCGAAACGCAGCTTCGACAGCTTATCGCCCTTGACACTGAACTGTGAGACGCCCTGGATGAACTCCTTAAAGTCCACCTCGCCATTACCGTCAGCGTCGAAAATGTCAATCACGCGCTGCACCAGCGGATTCTGTTGCAGCTCCGGCAGGGACATGAACTCGTCAACGCTGAGCGCTCCCGAGTTGTCCAGGTCCAGTTTCCGGAAGCGTTTGCCCAATCGTCGGATCTCATCCGCGTCGACTAATAGAGAACAGGAAAATGTAGAAAACATAATCATGGATTAATATTATCAAAAGGATATGTAAGGCTTCATAAGCATATAGAGTGTGTGCTACTGGGGAAACAGAAATTTAGTTTAAACTTATCCTTATAAAATTTACAAAACTGAACATCTTTTTTGTTAATCCATTATAGAATGGTAAAAAATCCTGACAAATAAGCTCTGCTAAAATTAATATTAATTATTAGCTTTATACAGTTACATTTTTGATTTAAGGATGTAAAATGTCACTGCCAGATTCTAGGCAAGAGTATTGGACTATATTTTATTTTTAGAGACAGGTTGTCTGTCGATCATCACAGACGAACAAAGGGTGACAAAAACACACATTCTAGAATGCCAATTTCGAAATAAACAAAACTAAGAAGAAGAAACTAAGGTCTCGTGATCTCTGACTACAGAATTCGGAATATTAAGTTGGGAATTCGATGCCAAATCTATTGTAAATGTAATTTCGACGCGCCACGTTTCGTTTACATTCAGATTTTCACTTTGCTGCCTATTTTATTCGCTTATGTACATTCAGGTGTATGTACGCATGTATGTATGCGCTGTTGTTTGCATATTCATAAACAGCTGCCTTTCCGTCCAAATGACATTGGCTGAAAAAATCGTACTTACAATTGGAACACATTTCCATGGGCAGTGATGTTTCATTTCCCTGCAAGACGTAGAAGTTATTTTAGAAAAATTTCAAAAATTTATCGCAGCAAGTGCAAAGGCTAGGAGGAGGGTGTGGGGGGTTGTGAAAATTGGCGAAGATTCGCCTTCATCGGGGCAAACTCTCACTCCCTTTTTCGAATTCCATTCTATACCCCCCTTTGGCCACACTATCCCCGCCCTACCCCTTGCACTTGCTTTCGTATTTTTGTAGCATTTTATTACCATTTTGGTTTCGCCTTTTGTGGTTCTCCTTGGTGCTATCTATAGTACAAGTAAAGTTGCGTTTTTGCACTGCTCTTCTCTCGCTCTCGCCGTCGCTGTTCCACTGTTTTCCGTTACGATCAGAAGCTTAAAGGTGTCCTGCACATGCTAGAGGGGTTTTTTGGGCGATTAATAACGGTTTTATCGTGGATATTTTCAATTTTTTATATTTTATATTTTATTGTGCATGAGCAGTGTTGCCAGTTTAGCTTACTTCAGGCTATATCAGGCATAGTGGAAACGCTTATGAAGTTTGCAACTAGCTTATAGCCATAAAAATAGCTATGAGCAAATTCATCTAGCAAATTCTTTTATATATTATATAAGATATATATAGATATTATTTGTACCGCGGTTTTTCTTATGTGAAATTGTATTGTTTTGTCTATATAAATAGTTTTAAAATAAAAAACAAATACTATAATATATATCTCATTTACTTTTTAACAATTTGCTCCTGCAATTTATATATCAATACCCAAACGAAATTTATGAAAAAATCTTAATTTGATTACGCCAAAAAAAACACTAAAAAAGAAAACTAGTTTAATAATGTTGCTAGTAATTTAATTTTATAATCAACATTATGTTTTATAAATTCTTGAATTTTTTACAATTAATAGTCCATATTAATTATTAATGATTTGATATACATTTTACATTATACTTGATTAGCATTTCTTTTTAATAATTTAAAAAATAAACTTAAACTGTATTTTTGCTCAGAATCTAGCTTATACGGGTGTTTAGAACCTGGCAGCCATTTGGCCATTACTATCGATTGTTCTAAGACTTTCGCGATAGTAGTCAAAATATTAATATATATAAAACAAGTTAATGAGTAAAAATGAATTATAATTACTTTGGAAAGCGAACATTTGAATATCCTTGCATTGTCCAATAGATTAGAATAGAAATTAAGCATAACTGATTAACCGATAGCTGGGTATAATGAAAAGGTACAAATAAGAAATGTATAGTCTGGCAGCGCTAGACGGTTTCGCGGTTTTTTTGCCACTCAATTTGTTTTGACTAGTTTTTGTACTTAAAGTTCACAGTAATGGAGGCAATGGAAATAGATGATAATATCCCTCAGTTGTAAGAACCCAAGCTCGTTCCTCCGAATCCTCCACTTGACCAATCGCCACTCACTAGGTACCAGCGTACGCCGGAGGACGTGAAGGCCATTGTGAAGCATGCGAAGCTGGACGAGCGCCAGCTGACACAACTGACTCAGGCTCTGTACTTTCCCTCGGCGGACGTGGAATCCGACAACCTGCGGCTACTGGAGCTGGACGGGCACATGCTGGAGCAAATCCGCGATGGCCAGACGCTGCACTTCAAGGGCGGCCAAAACGAGAAGGTGGTGCTCTGCACCGACGAGCGGACGTACGACGTAAAGGGGGCCGAGATTTCCAACAGCTTATTGTTGGTGCCGGACCTGAAGTTTGCGGCCGCCACCAGTACATCGCCGCTGAAGAGTCCACGCACTGGCAATGCCAATGCTTCCCTAGAACGGAGCCTAAATGACAGCACCGAGGATGAGTTGGAGGTACCACGCACTCTGGAGCAGCGATCGGTCCTCAAAGTGTTCCACGAGTATTTCGAGTGCCGGGAGATCAAGCCCCGCTTCCGCAAGCTGGGAGAACTGCTGCAATTGACACGGTACTCGGGTCCGGAGAACGAGTTCTGTATTGAGCGCAAACTGCTCTTCAGTCTGACCCAGCTGCTGGACACGGTGCAGTGCAGCCGGGCGCAGTTTATGGAGGGCTTACGGCAGTATCGGGCCATGCAACTGGAGGGCCACATGCGCGTTTTGGAGTACGAGTACGAGTATCGAACAATTAGTCTGATGCTGGGACTCATCAGCGAGAACTCCTGGGCCCTGGACGAAGTGGAAAGGGAGGAAACCATCAGTGCCTTGAAGGGCATTGCTCCGGAGGCGGTTGTGTCCGGACTATTTGATATCTACACCATTCCCAGCGAACGATGCCCGGACAAGTTTCAGTACCAGGAGTCACTGGTTGCACGAATCGTGGCACAAAATATTTTGCAACCAGGACTGCGGTTTCGCAACGAGGAATTCATGCGCACATGGCAGGAGGCTCTGCCCGAGGGTATGACTTGCCAGCTTAGCTATCTTCGTGGCCTCGGTATCTGTGATAAGGAGGGCGCCCAGCCTTGTATCCGTTCGCTGGCCGAGGAACAGCTGCCCACCAGTATTAACGATCGCATGAAGGCCTTGTTTAAGACTAAGCAGAAATGGACGTTGGATGAGATGGAGCCGTACATGGAGTAAGTCGATTTACAATCCAATCAAGGGGTTGTTTTGTCTAAGGTTTTCATATTCGCAGATGTTTCACAACGCCAAGCTTGTCCGTATCCACACTGCTGGCCAAGCATGCTCGCTCTCTGACCGAAGGGGGCGTGCGGTACTACGTCTCGAAGCACTGATGTAAGCATCCCATTCAATTTTTTATTATTTTTATCCTTTGTACGCATCTATTTAGTAAAATTAGACCTAAGCTTGTCCTAGGCATTCCGTTTGCGTTTGTTCCGATCCTTTTTAGCCTGCTTCTGGTCTTCAATGGCCGCTTTCATAGTTTCCACAGCGCTTTGCGTGTGACTCGTGGTCACTTGGTGAGCTGCCTCGTTGCTAGGATACTTAAAACTGAAGCCCCTGGGGAAGATGGGCTGTGCCAGGAGAGCATTGAGCTGTGCTCTAACTGTCTCCACGCGAAGACGATTGCGACGGCGCTCTATCACAAAGGGATCTTCGTCCTGATCGCTGCCACTGCATAGAAATTATTTAAATGAAGTTTGATAGTATAGAAAATCACCCTTACGATTCATCGTTGTAGCCATCGATTATCATGTCCATTTCCTCGGCGTGCTTCTTCATCCAACCGCGCTCGCTCTGAACTCGCTTCAGTTTTAGTTCCTCCTTGTCCAGATCACGAGCCAAGTTGACACGCTCTCTGACAGCGCCCATAAAGCGCTCCGAGATGGGGAACAGTGGCAGATCCTCAGCTGCAATTGAAATATTTATTATAACCTGACAGATAGCTAAGGCATACATGTAGCCGCTTTACTTACTCCTCTCCAGAGTTTTGTAGAGCTTCACGTAGCTCTTGACTTCGCCCGGCTCCATGAACATGACAGTTATGCCATGCTTATTGGCTCGAGCTGTGCGACCCGACCTGTGCACGTAGTTCTCGCTCGTCCTCGGCACCTGATAGTGGATCACATGCTCTACATTGGGTATATCCAGGCCTCGAGCAGCAACGTCAGTGGCTATGAGCAGACCTGTTGGACTGTCGCGAAAGCGTTCCAGATTCTTGAGCCGTTGCTTCTGGATCATGTTGGCGTGCAGGGGCAACGGATTGCAGTCCAACAGACCAAAGAGCGTAGCCAAGCGCTTGACGCAGTCAATAGAATTGCAGAAGACAATGGTGCGTCCCGGGTGACGTTGGATGAAGTAGTAGAGATGAAAGTCCTTCTGTTCGAGGGGGCAAAGCAAACGGCTTTCGGTCAAGGTCTGGGCAGTTTCTGAAAGTCGATAGGGAAAACGTTGGTTCCGAGTTAGGTTTCACATTTGATACACTTACGCTGAGTGCTGGTTATATCGACAATCTTGGGCTGCGAGATGCCGAGCTCCTCAATAAGGCTATCGATTTTTTGGTCCACCGTTTGCTTCACAAATTTAGGTCGCTTGCCCGTATTACGCTCTGAAATTAATAAGATGAAGGAACACTTGGATATATTATAGTTAGATCAGTCACTTACTTTGCATGTGTTCGGGCAAGTCGTGGACCAATGTCAACGTTGCCGAGTAGACAAAGTTCTGACGCTGCTGCTTCTTTTGCTCGTCCGCGTTGAGCACCTTGAGAAGGCTCCTCAACTCCTCAAAGTGCCCCTTCTCCACCATCCGATCCGTCTCGTCGATGACGAGGAAGCTTACGTTCTCGATTTTCTTGAGATGCTGGTTGCCCTGGGCATACAGCTCCCATAGACGACCGGGTGTGGCCACAACTATTTCCGGACACTGTCGGAGCACACGTTCCTGTTTTGCCACGGCTAGACCGCCGAAGATGGCTGCCACCCGAATGCCTGTGTACTTGGCAGCGGTAACTAGATGGTTTTTCACCTGCACGGCCAACTCGCGAGTGGGTGTCAGGACCAGACCGTACAGGGGTTGCTGCTTTCGTTTGGCATTCTCCTCCATATCGCTTTCCTCGTCACTGGCTCCGGAAACATGATCGAGTTCCTCCGGCGGCGGCGTCAATTCATGGTCGTCGTCGGCTATTTCAGCGGGCTGTTGTCCTTTCACTTTTGGTGCCTTGCGTATTCCCGAACTGACATTCCGTTGCTTCAGCTCCATAATCCCGGCCAGCATGGGTATGCCAAAGGCTAGTGTCTTTCCGCTTCCAGTTTCCGCGGCTCCTAGGATATCCTTTTTTCCGTGAATTGCTGCGGGCAAGGTCAAGGCTTGAATTTGAGTGGGCCCCTTGAAGCCTTGTTCTCCCAGGGCGCGTAGAATGGGAGAGGGAACGCCGAGGCCGTTCCAGGCGGAGACGTCTTCCCCATTGACCGTTGAGATGGGCACCAGATCGGGGACCTTGTCTTCGTCGCTAGATTCTGCAGGATCGGCCTCCTCGTCATCAGACGGCGGTGGCCTGAGCAACGCAAAACGATCTGCCGCATACTCATCGTTAGAATCATCGCTGTCTTCCGCATCATTTTCCTTTTCCTCTCCCTTTCCCTTTGTTTTCTTCTGTTTACGCATCTCCTTGCGCTTCTCCCGTTTTTCGCGCAGCTTTTGCATTTTCTGTGCGTGGCGCTCAGCCAGACGTGCCTTTTTACTGGACTTTGCGGTAACCGGCAATTCATCTTCGCTTTCCGATTCGCTGGAGCTCTCGCTGGAATCATCCGCCTCCTCGCCCTTGGACACCTTCCTCTTTTTCTTCTTCAGCTTGCTGTCTCTGGCTGGATTCTTGGAGCGCACCCTCTTCTGCGAAGACTTTACCAGCGCAGCATCGTAGTCCTTGAGGACCTCCAGGCCAATCAGTCCTTCGTAGCCCCCAAAATCATCAGAAATCACGTGGCCCTTGATCTTTACCTTTTGCCAGTTTTCCTCCTTGGGAACTGCAGGCTCTTTAACCACGTTTTTACCTGCTCTTGGGAGCTTTGTGGATTTCTGCTTGTTTTGAACCATACTAAACGATTTAATTAATAATAAAAACGTTAAATAAAAGCACGCCGACGACCGCGTGTTTTGTTTTTGTCTTGAAAAATATCGATTACCCGATAACGTAAACAGAAGGTCTTATCAGCTGTTACATGTTAACAGTGTTGCACAATGCTCAATTTCGATTCGAATCCTTGGCGGTCAAGTTTTATATTTTACGAAATTGCAGTTCTCCCTCCGTTGTTTATTTTCTTTTTATTTACGATGTGGTTTATCTATACAAATCCAAGGTTAATTCGTTTAACATTCTGCTCGCTCTATTTTTAAAAACAATTAACTTATATTTGGCTTATTGCTCGCCAGTCACTCCCAGCTTCTTCTTAAGCGACTCGGGCATTTCTGGTGGTGGTGGGCGTGGCATGCGCAGGAACACCTTTACGGCATCGTAGATGAACCATTGGGCAGCGGTCAGGGTGCCGATCATCACGATCCTAGGCACCAATCCTCCCCAGAGACCTGTAAATAGGGATTTAAAGCCGTCAGAGGCAGAGGCCAGGGAAAACCTTGAACATTCACTCACCGGCCCAGCCCAGCTGCTTGGCCACGTCCAAGGCGCTGGCGCCCTTGGCTTGGTTGAGCTTGGATACCACTGTGTCAGCGGGATGTGAGACAATGGCGCAGAAGACACCGGCAATGTAACCGGCGGCGAAGGTCACCACCAGCTGCTCGCCCTTGGTGCAATCGGCACGGGGCTTGGGCACCACATACTTGTACAGCAGCTCCAGGGTGCGCTCAAAGCAGGCGAACTTCATCATGGTGTATGGGATCTGGCGCATCCACAGTGGCACCAGGCCCTTGTAGAAGGCGGCCACACCCTCCTGGGCAGTCATCTTGGGCAGAGCCTCGCGCAGTGTCTTGGCAAATCCGGGAGTGGTCTGAATCTTTACCTTGGCCGCTTCCATGGGCGCCAGGGCAATGTCGGCAAAGAACTCGGCGGAGGCCGAGGCGGCCAGGTAGAGTCCGGTTCTGTACAGGAAGGCGTTCTCCTCACCGATGGCATCGCCGTAAATCACCTTGAAGACCTCATACAGGCCAAACTTGCACAGACCCTGCATGGAGTAGCCGATGAAAGTGGGGGCCCAACCCTTGGCTAGACCGCGGACGCCTTCCTCCGCCAAGCTGACACGGAAGCCGTTGAACACGCTCTTGTACTTGGCCGGGTCCACCTGCAGGCGGCACTTGACCAAATCCAGGGGCACCACCATTGTGTGTGTGGAGCCGCAAGAGATGATGCCGCCCAGGCCGCACAGCAGGAAGTAGTGGTTCGAGCCGAACTCGCAGGAATCTGAAGGGTTAGAGCCGAGGTCGATTTTAATTTTTTTAAATATTGTCTTCCTTCCTGGAAGCCTTTCCACTTACCACCCTGGGCAGCAGCAGCGGCGGCGATGTTGTGGTTGGGACTCAGCTGGCGGGGAGAGACATCGTTCAGAACTGGTGTCGCCACAGCCGAGGGGGCGGGCACTGAGGCTGGCGTGGCAGCCTGGCAGTTAACGCTGGTGAAGGGCGACCTGAACGTTGAGTTCTGCGCGGCATCGAACAGGGACTTGAACATGGTGCTTAGAGAAGTAGCTAAAAATATTAACAAAATAGAAAGGTTTAAGGTTAAGGTCATGATGTAATAAAATAACATATATACACATAAAAATAGCATATTAAATAAAATTGTAAAGAACGCGTTAACTTCCTACCATTATATATTTAATTTAATTTTCGTAGCTTTGTTTTACGATAAAGGAAGTTGTAAGGACATAATTTAATTTATAACTTTTAAATTATTAGGGTTTCCAATGAACAGTTTAAAGCTGTTTCTGTACTCATAATATAGTTAATAATAGGTATAATTTTTATTATTATAATAATTCTCCTTGGGGAAAAGTATTTAATACAATTCTGTACATTGATCTGCAAACTAGATGTATACTTTCTTTAGCCTACAATCACTTTCCAACTCACAAATTAATTTGAATTCTTATTTCGAAAACGTATAGATGCAATTATTTTTACATAACTATTGTTTTTTTCCTCGTCTGCTAGACACTTTTTATACATTGCGTAATAGCTGGGGTTCTCCGAACGCCAAAGTCTTGTACGTATTTCGAAAACTTTTGCAAAAAACAGTGCGATTTTCGGCACACAAACAAACACTCACTTCAAAGTGCGAGGGGAAGCGACGGAAATGGAGTGCAGATAGGCCTGAAAATAGAGCTGAAGTGGAGAGAGTCGTCGTTGCTGGGCTAAAGTGTTGGGGACCCAAAACAACGTTCGTCGCGCGCCAGACCAGAAAACCGAATGCAGTGCCTGCAATGGAAAGATCAGTGAGAGCTAGCACAGCTTCTGTCCAGGGTTGTCGAGTGGGGTCAGAGCGAATCGGTGGCTAGCGGTTACACATCAAGTGCGTAACGGTTACGTATTGGATAGGAATCGGGTGAGAGGGACAAACATTGGTGTTGGTTTAAGAACACATTATCCAGCTTATTTCATTTGATTTCAAAATATTTAAACTAAAGATATACCTGACAACCCCAGGCCATAGATTGTTATTTTTAAATTGGAACATTTTGGCCACTACCAGCCGAAAAAATCGCCCATTGAGCAGCGTCTGTCTTGCCTATAAACTGTCTATGTGTGTAAATATAAATAAATTCATTAACGATCTCCCAGCTGATCGGTGGAGGACAAGAAGTTGGCAGCTCAATCGATTCGTTAGATCTCGCTCTGGATCAAGGTTAAAGCCTTGCGAATTGTTTTGAGGTACAAGAAGTATACATTAAGGCCAAGAGAAGCGGCATCTCCGACCTCATAAAGTATCTATATTCTTCATCAGCATTTTTTTAAACTTAGTTATTTATCTTTTCATATGAAGCCTAGAAACCATAACAATTAAGCTAACGACAATTTAAAGAATTAGATTCTTAATGCCTAATATTTATATTTTTTTTGCAAAATTTAAACATTTTATTTGAAACGTACAATGCTATTATGTTTATGTTATAGAAGTGTAGTACTAAAATCGGTAGTTAGTAACTTGATAGAGCTTAGGAGCTACATTTTACAAAAAACGGTATACGACATGGTATCTTACATTCTCAGACAAGTAAGTACATTGCTTGGTTGGTTGGTGCTTATCAAATAAATGCTAAAAATATTGGAAGTATATATAGTGGCTGCACATACATAATAGTAGTAATACTTTTGCAATAAATTACAGTAAAATACAATACAATACATCGATCAAAAATGGCAGAAACAATGTCATCACTTAATAGTTGGTGTTTGACTCGTACTCATATACGGTCTAATAGTAGTAATAATAGTTAATAGATAATAGATACATTGGGGCCGGAACTGGAGTCCATCGAGCGAGCATGCGTGGAATGCGAACTGGTCTCTCTGGTGGCAGTTGAACTGCCAGGTTGGTAACTTACACAGCTAAATTGGCAAACAAGCGGACATCTTACGCTCTAAAACTTAACAACGACTACGACTCGGCCGTCTCCATGTGCCGATGCACGGTCACGGGCGCCAATATGTAATGGGGCCTGGACTCGTCCGCCTCGAGGGGCAACGTGGTCTGACCGTAGACACAACTTCGGTCGCGGTCGCGGGAGGGCGAGGGCGTCGCCTGTACCTGCTGCTTGTACCGCTCCGTCTTCGAGGTCGGCTGATTGCTCAAGTACGGATGGGTGTTGGGTTGCGTGGAGGACTGTTGTCGGTTCGTTGGACTCGATATGGAGGTGGATATGGACATGGTGTCCGACTTGCTGTGCCGCTTGTCGTGCAGCAGAAGGGGCTCCGCCAGCGTGAAGCACTGCTGGTCAGAACTGTCTTCATGCGGCGTCATGGTGCTGTAGCCATGATCCGACTCTCCATTGGGAGGCCGGCGATAGCTGCTGCCGCTGGACACGTGATATGGAGATATATCCGCTGCATTCATCAGCTGTCGCTGAGCTGCCGCATGGTCATAGCCCCCGCCCAGGGGAGGCTCATCGTGCGCCTTGCAATCGTCAAAGTTGAATCTGGAGAGCGGCAGACCGTAGTTCTCCTCCTGAACGGAATCCACGTAAAACTGCTCCTGAGTCTGGGCATCGAGGTTGTGTCTGTAACAATAGATGGCGAACCCGATAACCATGGCGAGGACTATGATGGCTCCACCAAGTGGTCCGAAGGCAGAGTAGGCGTGCTGCTCCCGCTGAGGATTGTGGGCAGCCAGCAGCTCCAACTCGTCTAACTCGCCATACGGAGTAAGGGAGGCAAGAACACCATTGAAACAGCTGGCCTGCGAGGCACAGAAGGCTGTAGAGAAGCTATTGCCCTCTACATCCTGCTGGCACCACTCGCAGCCCATCACTCCAAGGCATTCCCTTTGCGTGGAATACGCATCGCAGGTGCCCGCCGATCCTGGACAACTGGGCAGGGCGCTGAGCAGCTGCGTGGTCGGTGGCAGCGCTATAAAGTGCTCACTCGGTGGCGGACAGTAGGGGAATTGGTGCGTGTAGTTGGCATAGTAGGCGAGGGAGGAGGGCGAGCTGCTGTCGCCCACCATGGGACATTCGCAGGGGCACTCGCAGTCCGTTTGGTCCATGCGCTTGCAGTTTAGACACTCCCGATCGATGGTGCTACACGGACAAAAGGCACCTCCATCGCAGCTAGAGTTAAGCACGGCGGCGAAGAGGTTGCTGCCCCGAATCAGGGCAATTGCGTACTTGGTCCGCTCGCCATGCACCACGTTGCCTAGAATGGTGGCCAGCGAGGTGTTGAAGGCATAGAAGCGTTGTAGTGTGCGATTCTGGTAGCTGGCGCAGCCCAGCTTCCTAACCAGCTGGCCGTGATTGAGCACGTCGTTGGCCAGGTAGGACTCCTTGTGTGTTAGGTGCTCGTGCGGACGGCGTTGATTTCTCGTCGCCGTAGTCGGTTGCAGCATGCTGGGATGGGCCAACAGATAGCCCTCGTGCTCGAATATCAGACACTTCATGTGGGGCAGCTGGCAGAGCGGTGTACCCTCAAGGATCAGTCGGTAATAAAAGGCATAAGGGACGTCCAAGGCTACCACTCCAATGGGCCTGTCCTGCTGAACAGAGTGCAGCGCATGTGCCTTGCCTTCGAAGATGGTGTGCGCGATGGTGATAATGTATCCCGCTCCACCCGCATCCAGGTATGGAGCTGTGCTCACAATCTTGCCCGGCTGAGCCAGCGCCTGACGGAACCAAGGACGCCGGGTGGGATCGTAGCTGCTGCTGAGCAAGCAGCCCGGGTACAATTGCAGCACTCCGCTCACGCTGGCCATGTACCGGCGAATGATGTGGCTGCGCAGTGATCCTCTGGTATCCTGGTGCCGGCGGCGCAGCTGCTGCATTGCTTGATAGAGCACACTCACCTCGTGGCGGATGCTGGGACGCAGCCCGGGATTGGCCAGCAGACCACTCGAATCGCGAAGATAGGCCATTATGGACTCAACATGGCGAAGCTGGGTGCGCGGTCGATTGTTGTGCAGGAATCCAAATGGAGACTCGAAGGCAGCGGCACTAAGGAAAAGAGTGGGAGCGTCTGCAATGGAGAACGATGATTACGACTTGCTTTCGACAAACACTGGAGGAAGCACTTACCCAAGGTTGCCATTTGTCTAAAGTAGCGACAAATCTTTGGCTGCCCGCTGCCGGCCTGGTTGAGGTCCAGGCGGTGGTACAACAAATCCATGCTCTCTCCATAATATCCAGGCTCATAGTTGGACACGGTGTCCTTTAGGTTATATCGTTGCGATCCCGTGTTAGAGGCATTCCTCAGCGAGTCGCCCCCGTTGCTCACCAGGCACAGCACGTAGAAGCCCAGCACTGACTGCCAGTGGTAGGTGCGCTGTAGGCGCTGCTTTCCAACATATACATCGGCGGTGGCATTGCCGTTCTCCTCGTGTAGGAGGCGCTCCCGTATCAGACTGGAGAAGTCGGTGGCGTTCTCCAGGTAAGCTATATTCACTGGATACGAGGTCTCGCGCTGGATCAGTGGCCGCGGAAATGCCGGATGGGCAAGAGTGTTTCCCGTGGACCGATCAAGTAGAAAGGCATAGCCACTGCCTCCCTGCTTGGCACTAGAGGCAGCAGCACTGGGATAGTTAAGCAGATCCTCTAGCAGATCCGCCAGGTACAAGTTTACGCCCACAACGCCGTACGGAGGAACGGCATGCGTTATAGAGACAAGGACATCTGTAAGAACACTATTTTTGAGCAAGGAAAGGCTACTTATTTGGTTGTCAAAACTTACCTCCACTGTCTGCGTCCACAACCGGGGGATGAACCTCCAATGTATCCGTTAGATAGTGCTCTTGAAAGAGCTGACCAAATATCCGCGAACTTGTTTGGGGCAGCGACGTCTCCGCGTGCAGTTTGCTTAACACGAAAAAGCGCCCAGCCAACTGCGTTGCCTGCTGTCCTGCCCTGGGCCACCAACTGGTCACATCAATCTCGTACTTGGTGTAGTTCTGCGTGGCCACATCGCTCAGAAACTGCTTCTCGTACATAATCCGCTTCTCGTCAAGTACCACGGCACAGGTGTTAATGATCACCGGAGCCTTGAGCCGTCGCTGACCCTCAGCCACCACTCGCAGCACGGCCATGGCATCGGATAAGTTGGTCAATAGACCGCGCGTAACGTAGACAAACTCCACTGGTTGGTCGGCTGTGTTTATCATTCCCGATTGCTGCAGTCGATGCAGCAAGTCGAAGGCGTACTCAAAACCCAATGAGTGATTTGTAAGGGCCTGAGCCCGGCTCAAGTTATTTATGTAGCTGATGATCTCCTCCTTGTGGCCACGCGTGGCACTGTAGATACCGTGGCCAGCCTCAGCGGGAAATGCTTCCAGGGACATAAAGCTCGCCTCGCTGGAAACGGTCACCAGGGAGACCTTATCCGTATCCTCCAGCAGCTGAAGCATCTCGTGAACTGCGAACAAGATTTATTGATAGAACTAATTATAATAATTGTAATAAAGTTATGTACACATACCAAAGCTCTTTGTTAGGTCAAACAATTCAGAATTTAGTGCCGATCCCACGTCGATCAGGAGCAGAACGTACTTTTGCTTAATGGCTGAAACGTAGAGCTGCCGAAAATGGAGGCTGGCAGAGGCCCCGTCCGAATTGGACAGGAAGTAGATATGCTTGAAGTGGTTGCCGCTGCTGGGCTTGCTATTCGATTTATCCGCCTCGCTTCGACTGAGCCTGCGCTTAAGTTGGATCAGCTGATCCGATATGTAGCCGTTGACCGCTAGGGAACGGGCATTGTTCTCGTTTAGGAACGTGGCGCGCCCATCGTCCGACTTGAGATAGTTGAGGATTTGGATCTGCTGCTTGTTGTAATGAATTGACTGGGCCGAGGACGAGGACCCTGAGATAGCATCCACCTCGGTGTCATAGTCGTCAGGCTGACAGCTCTCGATTTGGCTGTTCAAATAGAGCTGCATATGATCCGTGGATGGTGAGGCAGTGTTTCTGGCATGTAGGTCCTCCATCTCCATCTCCAGATCCAGTTCGCTCTCCTCCTCATCCTCATCGTCGTAGCTGTATTGCCAGACCTTGGTCAGGTTGTAACGCAGGAGTTCGCGTAGTTCCAGCACAACATGTGTGGCCTTTTGCAGCTTCTTGCCAAGGCGACTGCTGAACAGCTGTAAATCCCGCTGCAATTGGGAATTGGCCAGTCCGCTCTCGTTGTTGTTTACGGTCTGGCGAACTGGTGCCCCACCTCCTCCATTGGCGCTGGTCATATGCATAGAGTCAAAGATTTCCTAAAGTGCACAAGGGTGTTATAACTGATTTTATTTGGAAACAGGAAAGGAATCTTACCTGGATCTTGGCCACACGCATTTCCACATTGCGTATGTTCCGAAGCTTGCCCTCCATGCTGTGTCGCAACTGCATGGCATTCTGCTGATTGTAGTTCACGAAGAATATGCTGGCTGGCGACTGCTGCAGCGGCATGAAGCCGGCGACCACGTCTCCCCCGGCATCCGTAGGCACTTTGTTGCTAGTTGTGTTGGCTATGGCTAGAGGAACTTGTTGACTGCTAGTCGTGGACGCCAACGCGCCCAGGGCGAGCAGCGTAATATGGAAGCTGCAGCTGGGCCACATGATTTCGGGTATCCTGGAAGCTGCGCGGCCACTGGTACATGCTCATCGGCTTACCGCATACCTGGACGGGGTAACACAACAATGTTAGAAAGTTATCCACGGTGCTGGGTGTTTTCTATGTATTACCAGGATCACCCCGACCTCCACGCCGTTTTGTTTATGAAATTTCTTAACAGATATTTCGTAGCTGCGCTAACGTAAAGCTGGACATAGACGTGGACATGGGTTACTTGCACAGGGACAACACACATTTAACATAGAAACAACATAATTATCCTTTTTTTAAACTAAATAAATAAATAGTTTTGTCAAACTGCAGTTCTTTCTAAAAAAAATTCCATCTAGATGGTGTGACCGTGGCTAGGTCAGAGCAAGAATCCATAACAAAGAAGAAACAAAAATACCATATGCGGTATTTTAAAAAAATTCAAATTGCAGTGTACAGTGCGGTCACCCTAAAATAACGTAGAAATGGACCGTTTTTGTTTTATTTTTATTTTATTTCATATATAACTTAAATATCAGAAGATTTTATTAAAATAAATATGAAATAATAGTCAAATCAAATAAATCTAATAAAAGTCTTTCTATTGAAACATAAACTATGTTTGAAACATGAAAATAATAGGGTATATGAAGTTAATATATCTGATAATCTAGTGATATTTATATACAAGGCAGAATGAGGCCTCTCATGTATATTTATTGTTAATCAAAAGACAATTTAATTATATTTGCCTTTCCCTCTGACAAGTTCATCCGGTTGTAATCAAATGATGGGGTATCAATCTGGTGATACTTAGGATTTAATTAATATTATTATAATAACATAAGTTGCCTTAATACTTTCGTTTTTCAAAATTGTAGTAAATAAAATGTTTGCAGAGGCGACCAACTTCTCTAAGCGAATGCGATTTTGAGCCTTTGCCAATTATTCGCTCATCCGCTGTCAAGGCTGTGATTCGTTTCTTCTTTTTGTCGGTTGGATACGTGACTATGTAGGCTGAGATGGAACAGATGCAGTCCAATTGGTGTCAAACCGACAAGGTGCGTGTCCGGCATAATAAAGACATCAGTGGTTTGATATAAATCAATATAAAAATGCCCAACTTAAAGACGTTCAGCTGCAGTTTCAATTGCAACGTTCATCAAAATGCAAGCAAAGGTACAGAGTGATTTGATCATCAGTAAGGTGGTATTTTAAATAGTCATCCTTAAAGATTCTTCCATTGGTTGCTCTCCTGGTCTTTGTCCGAGGTGATCCAGAGGCCCCAATTGTCCGAATTGCTCCGTATGCTCCATATGCTCCAGCTGGCTGGCAACCGCAGATTCCGTTTAATCTACCCAATGAGTACCTACCGGCTAGGAATACGAATCCGGATGTGCAGATCACCAAGGCGCGAGTGGAACAGGTCTATCCATCCCAGAAATTGGATAAACCCGAAGCTGGAATTCTACAGCCTATTTCCCGTCCGTCAAACCAATATGGTCCACCAGATCCTGGTTTCAAAATAGTCTATCCCGACGAGGAGGAGCCAGTAATTCCCAAGGACTCATCTCAACCCAATCAGTCCAGCATCAAGGAAGGACGCTACTTCATAATATCTCAGGATAATAAACTTCAGAGAGTTACTTTCAGCTCTGAGCAGAATGGAAGCGATGAGGATTTCACAGCTCGGCTGAGTTACTCCACTGTGGGACAGCTCAAGGATCCTGTGTACCGATACAATAGCCAGGGACAATTGGAAAGGGTGTTGAAGAAGTGATCATAATAATCTTTTTTTCATTCCGATCGAAATTATAATGAATCCAAGCTTATATTTTCAGAGAAGATTTAAAGGATAGTTTACTTAAATTTCATGAAATTGATCTTTTCTATACAGTCAAAACACATTTTGGACTTTCTTTTTTTGTCTTTGTTTTATACAAAAATGCTTCTTTATTCATTTAATAATTATTAAATATACACAAAAATCTCATAAGTTCGTTTCGCTTTCGAATTTTCCATTTTCATTTTAAAAACTAAGTACAATCCTTATGCATGTATGTATGAATGCGTAATGGTCACATGTGTGTGTGTAATGTGTGTGAGTGGGTGTGTTTTTGTGTGTGTGTGCGTGGACTAACACAAAATGAAGAGGCGCTTAAACAAAACAAAACGGCAAGTAGTTCCGGGCATAAACAGCTAGGGGAAACAAACGGTAATGAAACGAAAACGGAAGGAACGCGCCTGTCTATGGCAAAATGGCGGCCGTCCCACTAGGGCGAGAGATTAAGTGAGGCAGAGTAAAGGCAGATAAAGACGGATAGAGACTGACTGCGACCGCTGGCCCCCTGGCTGTGTGAACGCCTAATACTCGGCCAGCGATCCCGTGAAGTAGACGAGTATAGCTGCGGGTCGACCTAAATCGGGATACCACTCTGCCCCTCTTTAGTAGCCGTTAAACTTGCCCTGCTGCGCGTTGCTGTCGTAGCCGCCGCCATTGCGTCCGTTGCCATTTCCGTTTCCGTTGCCATTGCCCACCTGCTCGTAGCGGATGGTGGGGCGGTATCCGTTCTGGTCGGCCTCGTACTCCACGATCTGCTTGCGGCCATCGGGCAAGAGCACGTAGTAGCGGCCCACGGCGAGGTCACCATCGCGAGACTCCATGTGTCCGAAGTCGTTGCCCGACTCGTAGTCCTGCACGTCGTACTTGAACTCATACTTGGCCGGGCCGTATTGCTCCTCATCGCGCTGTCCATAGCCGTTGCCGTTGCCGTTGCCGTTGCCGCCGCCATATCCGCCGTTGCCGTTTCCGTTGCCGCCCTTGAAGATGGCACCCGTCAGCGCTGGAGCACCGTATTGACCCTGAGGTGGAGCGATGGGGGCTCCGTAGCTATTACTGGGCGCTCCTCCGTTGCCGCCAGTCCGCTGGGGCGGCAGATAATTGTTCGATGGCGTCTGGTAGCCCTGCGTAGGGGGCAGATAGTTGTTGGACGGCGCTTGGGGCGATTGGTTGGGCGGTAGGTATTGGTTCTGGGGCACTGGGGGTTCCGCATGGGTCCAGGCAGCCAGGCACACGAGCAACGCGATCGACGTAAAGCACTAAGGGAAAATGTCAAGTTATTTTTATAAAATTAAAAATTTAATTAATGAGAACACTAGAACTAAGAAGCCTTTGAGAAAACCGCCTGACTTTGACAGCAGCCTTTCAAAATTATATGTAATTTAAGCAGTAGGTGTCCTCTATCTACAATATAGTCATTGGAATTGAGAGCTTTGTATAAGACGGCCATGTCCGACTCGGATGAGACCGCCTGGATCCCATGGTTCTGCCGGCAGCGTGGCAACGAGTTCTTCTGCGAGGTGGACGAGGACTATATTCAGGACAAGTTCAACTTGAACTTCCTCGACTCGAATGTAACCAACTATCGCTGTGCCCTGGAAGTGATCCTTGATCTTAGCTCGGGTTCGGCCTCGGACCTGCCGCCAGAGTCGGAGCTGGAGGCGAGCGCTGAGAAGCTGTACGGGCTCATCCATGCCCGTTTCATTCTCACCAATCGTGGCATCGATCTGATGCTAGACAAGTACTACAAGGGTGCCTTTGGCACATGTCCTAGATCCTTTTGCCAGCACCAGGCAGTGCTGCCCATTGGTCTGTCCGATAATCCTGGCGAGGAGATGGTCCGCGTCTACTGTCCCAGGTGCAACGATGTCTACTACCCGAAGGCAGCACGCCATTCCAATCTTGATGGAGCCTTCTTTGGCACCGGCTTCCCGCACATGGCCTTTATGGTGCATCCCGAGGCGAGACCCAAGCGGGCCAAGCAGAAGTTTATTCCCAGGTAAGCAGATAATATAAATTTAATACATTGCCATACTAAAGTATTCTCTATTTCCGCCAGATTGTATGGCTTCAAGATTCACCAAACTGCCTACAAACACTGCGATACTTCCAAGGATCTGGCAGGGACCCCAGAAATCAAATCCGATCACTAATGTTTTGAGCGAAATTTCCCATGTGAAACCCATGTTTTGTACCCCTTTGTAGCCATAGGCTTGCTGCCAGCTCATTAAACTCTCATAATCATAACTTGACAATCTTTTGTTTTGGCCAGCTACAGCATTGTCTTTTTTCTTGGCAGCATTTAGCCGCCGCAGAGGCATATGCAAATCTGCGGTAATTGGGTCTCAGGCGAAGCTCGGATCGGATTATGGCCAAGTTAAAGCAAGTGAAGGGCTGATCTCGCTCTTGTGCAATGCGTCTGAATGTTAAGTATACGCCGTGTGGCGCGGGCAACCTGTGGGAGAACATCGGCGGCGAAGGCTTGCACAACACGTTTCCGAATGTTTTCTTGTTTTTTGTCGAAAGAGCTTCTGCCCAATGACTTTCATGCTTCATTGGCGTTAAAATGCTACGCTTTGAACAGCTTCTTGCGTCTAGCGTCTGCCTTTGTCTGCCTTTTATCGCCGCCTGGTCATCGCCAGACTGCCGCCGTACTTGGGCATGTCCAGTTGTTCTTCTTCCGCCACTTAAAAGTTTGTTTAATTTATGCATTGCAAAATGACCCGCCGCTACTGTTCGCTACCCACACCCTAGAAAAGGTAATGGGATCGCTGGCTGCAATTGTTTCCCAGGCGGACGCGGCACAGAGATATGTATCATCGGAGGTGTCGTGTTCTAATTCCAAAAGCCAGCGAATACACAGTAGCCCCCTTCGGCCAAATGGATGGCTATCTTAGCAGCGATGATGGCAGCTTATGAAATTTATTATGCGGATCCCCCGGCTTGATTAATCGCCCTGCTGAACTTGACTTTTAATATGGCTCACAGATACGTATTTCTTCTTTTCCCTTTCCGAGACAATCAAGGCTTCATTAGCTTGATAAGTTGTTTAATTGATTGATTGATCAATTGCCAAAAATCGATTTTAAATGAGGGCTACATGCTTGTTTTTTTGGCGCTTTGTTGAACGAGTTTAAAAGATGAGTTAATCATTATTTTAACTGAAGGGAGGAGTGCTAGTAATTAAGGACAACAAAATGGGATTAATCTTAATTTCTGGTTCTTAGATTCACTGGCATTCATAACTTATTATCCTGGCAGCCTACTTAACATCTTTCGATGCTTTTTTCTTATAATCCTGCATGAGTTTAAACGGATCTATATATCCTTATTTACATTTCTGCTAATATGTCCTGTTGTCAGGACTCAGTTTCACACAGCACACCACTTGTTACACTTGACTTGACTTGACAGTTCTTTGGTGTGGAATCTATATACCTTCATTTTGTGTTGTCACTTGTTTGGGGTTTTGGCACACACGAAAACGGTTTTTGTTAACTTGCTCTGTTGGCTGGGTTCTTCTTGCGAAGATGGTTGACTTGATTGTGATACTGAAACAATTTCGTAGGCCAGTATTTATATTTGAAACGAACGCTGCCGCGTCGACGTCGACTTCGAAAAATTGCGCGCCAAAAAGTGTTTTTTTTCCCCCATTTCAATTCCCAGTTCGTTATTTCAATTTTTCGGTTAGAAAAAAAAGAGCTCCGAACGAGCACTCAGAAAACATTACAAAATAATGCAAAGCACGGAGAGTTGGAGGAAGAGCTGGCAGATCGCTCTCAGCGCTCGCGAGAAAAGAGGTTTGTTATAGTAAACTAGTTACTTTGAAATTAAAGCGCCAAACATTTTGACGACTGCTGCTACATGGCTGCTGGCTTCGTTTCACTGTTCGGCAAATGAGCGGAGATGAGCGCTCCGGCGACATCCCAGACGCGGGAGTAATGCGCTCCTGCGGCTGCAGGCCATAAACATTTGTTGCTCTTCGTGTAATAGCACAAACACTTATTGTAATGGAATTAGTCATGCGCCGGGGCAGAGACGCCGACGGTGGCAGCAAAGTGAGCGGAGTCCGCGGAGCCAGCTGCTCCACGCATCTTCATCTCCGATCGCAGTCAGTCGAGCGGCAGCTTCGGCGGCGGCCGCCTCACACAGGGCGGGAAAACAAAAGACTCTGGCAACGAACTCGGAACTCGGTTTGCCTTTACCTTTGGTAATGCTGCTGCAAATTGTTCCCTTTAGTGCGTGGGAGTCTTGGCCTGGAGTTCACAGATGCAACTGTTTTGATTGGCGTTGACATGGTTTCAGGTCGGATAAGCTGCAATTGAGATGTGAGCATAGCAAAGGAAATAGCATTTCAAAATGATTTTCAGATAAGCCATCTAGCTATCTAGATATCTATCTATCTAGCTGGGAAAATGTATGCTATAATGTGGGGAATTCAACAAGAAATAGTGGTTTAAGCATTTGCCAAGAGTCTTAAGTGAATTTAATTGAAGATCCAACTTGTTTTTTATATATTAAATCCGCATAAGAGCTAAAAAGGGGCTGTAACAGGTCCGATATCTGGTTTTCGCAATTATTTAAAATATGTAAAATTGCATTTAATAATACAAACGACACGAATTAAAAGAAGGATATCATATTCTCCAGTAATTAGAATAGTTTTTTCTAATACATTTCTTATATTTGTATATTCCTAATTTGTTTACAGAGTTGAGCTTTTCTCCCTTGAATATTTAGTTTTATTTTTTTGGTTTCCTGTACACATAACCCAAACTTGATTTATCTAATATCTTTGTTGAATATTTGCTTATCCCATCAAAAAGTCGATTGCATAACACAAAGGAAAACTTGAACTCTTTTGAAAAGTACTTGAAACACCGCACTTGACAAGGGGGAAAAGGTAACTCAATATATGTATTTATTGCCATATTCCATATTCACTTAAACGGTGGGCGTAGCATTCGTCACGATCTGCAAATATTTCTTTGGACAATTGTCTCTGGCTCATTGATCGAAAAATGCGAATCAAATGAGATTGTTGGCAGGCATTTTGCCATATTGCCATAACGGTGGCCGAGGCGACCGCAGCTCATTATGCGATTTGGCACGAGCTGACTTTCACATTCGATAATGCCAAGTTTATGAGTTGTAAAGTAAATTCAAAGGCCAAATCGATACCCCGCCCCGTAATGATGAAGGGATGAAACGATAGCTTCCTTGGCGGCCAATTCCGCAACGCGCTTTTCTGCAAGTAATAATGCGACCTTGCCGCAGACCACAATAAAAATAAATTAGAGAATAAAACTGCAAAGAGTTTGCCAGAGTTTGTAATTGCCAAGATCATTTGAAGTTTGATGTTTGCAAATATGCAAAAATAAACAGGCAAAAACTATAACAGGCTAAAGGCAAACTTTATAATGGCTAATACGGGGTTGTGTATGAACATGAATGTGAGTCTGGGGATTGTAAACAAAACAATTAAATAAAACTTCGTTTACCGCATTCCTTGCCCCACACCACACCACCCCACTCCACTCCACTCCACTCCTTCTCGAGCGGAACACAGTTGAAATTCATATTCAATAGCACTCCATAAACAACTTGAGCTCTGTTTTCGGTTTTCAGCATCTTTTGGCCAGACTTTTTTGTTTTTGTACGTCTGTAATCATTTTTCCAGCACATTAAAAAATCATTTAATTTCCTGCATCGGCTAATTTACATTGAACGTGCCAGACTAGAGAGGGAAGCTAATGGCACCCAGCCAGCCAGATAGGTGATGATGCGCCAACTCAAAGACAATGACGATCTCTAATTTCTTGATGCCCGATGGCAGATGCCTGTTGGCTTTTGGTTGTTGGTTTCACTAGAGCTTCGAGAGGGGTGGACCTTGAAATACTTACAACTAACCTGTATCTGTATCTGTATCTGTATCGCCCGATTCGTATCTGTGTTTGTTTTGAAACCTAGAATGCTGACGAGTGGCCGGGCCAACGTATAATTTAAATTAAACTACGATAATTTCCGATGCACGGCCCCCAGATAGACGGATCTACGGACCGAATCAATTAAGGCATCTTTTGATGTAAAATTTAAATTGCGCCGCACTTTGCTTCGATATATCGAAGCACTCTTTATGATGATCTTTCGAGAGCGATCTCCGCTGGCTCACAGCTCTTTGCACGCCGACTGCATTTTTCGCCCGACGCGAAGGTCGCTGCCTCTTGCCAGAATCGGAGTAAAAGTCGCTTGACTCACACACAAAATTGCCAAACTTTGACATTTTGCATTGAACTGAGATAAATCGAGCGGAATTAATTATGAGTAAGTAATCTGGGTGTGGAGTATACTATACTTTGTAGAATGGATATGAGGAAGTGATGGTCTGGAAAAGGAAATCCTTACTATAAATAACAAATGTATATAGCAGACAGGAGGACGGGTCTTCGACTCTATATGATACTATATGTACAAGGCAATCTAACAGAACTTCTGTATAACTTGACATTATCTTTAAATTTGTGCACAAATGTATTAAAAACACATGAGTTGCTAAACACTAAACCAAAATTCTGTCTTGTAATGTAACACTGCAAAGTTTAGCGCCCCAACATTAAACTTGAGAATTTTCCAAAGTAAAAACTATTAATTCTAGGTATCAAAAGTCAAAAGTCTAGGAAAATTTCCTTATCGATAACTTTAATTACTTTGACACAATGAACTTTTAATTAAAAACTACTTCCCACACCGTACAATCCAATTGAATCAGATAATCTCTCTTCAAGAAGTCTTTTGCATTCATAACTAGTTATCCCGGCAGTTACCGATAACATTCCATCAAAATCTAACTAGTTTGTCACTCCTCTCGAGCACGCGAAGGTCACACCTGGGAATCTTCTGGCCATCCATCTCCTCCATCTCCTGCTCCGTGGCTGCTCACCTCTGGCATTTGAGCGATGGACGCGATCTCGATCGCGCTCTGCACTTCAATGGCTGTCATAAAAGACGCATTCGCAGTGCACTCCATAAAGTAATTACACTCACACAGCCGTGCAGTTGGCCAAATTGCCAAATTAGTCGCTGCAAGTGCTCCCATCTCTTGGATCTCAGCACCAGAGTATGTACTATGGGTACTAGGTACTCGGCATAATTAAAACGTATGCGAAGCAATTAAACTTGAAACAGAACGGCGGGGCAGAAGAGGCTGCACGAGACGAGACAGAGGCATTCTGATGGTGCTCAATCAG